AAATGTTAATATAAATACCATTTAATTATTTTAGTAAATAATAAAAATTTCATAGGAATTCAATTATTTGCACATTTTTTACAAATTTCTTTGCAATAATTCAATTATTTCATAATACAATTTTTTACAGGGTTTCAATTATTTTCATAAATAAATATATAAAATTCTTTTTATGAATTCAGTTATTTTCATAAATAATAAAACTCATTGCAAAATTTTAATTATTTTTAAAATTAAAAAATTTCTTCTTTGAAATTCAATTATTATTTTAAAAAATTCTAATAAAAAGTTTTCCGCAAGAAATTCAATTATTTATATAATAAAATTCTTTTATTATTTATTATATTTTGAAAAAATTAATTAAAACAATGTTTATAAAATTCTTATGAAGAAATTCAATTATTTTCAAAACTAACAAAATTTTTCACAAATTTTTTTTTTCTTGATACAATCCATTTATATGAGAATTCAATTTCAAGAAACATTCAATTATTGAATAAATTATTTACTTTCGCATTTATCAATAATTGAATTTTTCTAGAGTTTTCTAATGAAAATTGATTTAAAAATGAATTTTAGTTTAAATTTTAGATAATAATTGCATGTTAAAAGGCATTATATAGCGTGAATTTTTAGAAATAATTGAATTTTGAAAAGTTTTCAAATTAAAATCTTTGAAAATTTGAATTTTAAATACTTTTAACTAACAATTTTGTATAGATTAATAAAATTGTTTTTAAGAACCGTTTCATAAGAATATTGATAATAAAAAGGCCTCTAAATATTATTATCAATTCTGTATAGAATTAATTTTTTTGAAAAAGTTTTATTGGATTTTTTAAAAAATTATTTGAAGTTTTTATTGTCTAATATATTTTCTTTAGTTATAACTGAAGAATTTTTGAATAATTGAAATTTCATGTAAAATTGAATATTGTAAACAAATGGATTTAAAAATTCGCATTAAAGAAGAACTTTTTTCAAAAATTCTCAAAAATAATTGATTTAAAGAAGAATTTGTAGTTATAAATTTTAGAAAATGATATAATTGAATTGAAATGATGAAAATTTGTTTGAATGAGTTGCAGTAACATAATAATCTTATAATATAAAATAATGATAACTCGGTCATCTTTAATTATTATAAATTATGAAAAAAAAAATTATAAATTATTATATCACGTACATCTTAAAGCTAATCAGTTATAATGGCACGTGCATATGTTTTCCTTTGCTTCAAGAACCCATTCTACACACTATATACAAATTGGGAAATCGAGTTTTGAAGTTGTTTATATACTAAACATAGAAAAACTTTCTGTATGATGAGAAATAGATATATTTCCTTAATGAACACTGATTTAGTAAAAATGAACAAGTTTTGGGGCTTTTATTTCTCTTATTTTTTTTTATTATTATTAAAATAGAGTAAAAATAAAAATTAGAATAATAAAAATTAAAATAAAAAAAAATTTTTAATATAATATTATAATTGATATAAAAACAAAAAGGAGCAACAACAATAAAAAAAAAGTGCTGCTGTTTTATCAATAATAGTTTCGTAACAGGCTGATTTAAATGTTACTGTTCCATTTATTATTTTGCAAATTAAAACTTTTTATATTTGAAAATATAAACATCAATATTTTTGAATAATTTCAGATTCAAAATTTAAAAAATTTACTTATTAACTATTCTTTTTCGCAAGAATTAAATTATTTAAAAAAATTTTAAATAAAATTCTTAATAATAATTAAATTATTTTCAATAATTTTAATAACATTATTTTCAATAATTTTAATAACATTATTTTCAATAATTTTAATAACATTCTTCGTAAGAATTTAATTATTTTTACAAATAATAAAATCTTTCACATAAATATTCAATTATTATTTAAAAAAATGTAATAAAATTCATTGTGTGAATTCAATTATTTTCATAAATAATAAAATTTTTCAGAGGAATTCAATTATTTTTCAATACAATTTTAAATTAATTCCTCGAAAAATATGTAATTAATTTGAAAAACTTTTTGCAAGAATTCAAATTATTTGAAAAAAAAAATGTTTTAATAAAATTCTTATGATAAGAATTAAGTTATTTTCAAAAATTTTAATAAAACATTCTTTGGAAGAATTCAATTTTTTATAAAAAGTAAAATTATCGCAGGAATTCAATTATTTTCAAAACCAATTTTAATAAAATTTCACGAAAAAATTCAATTATTTTATAAAATTTTTAATAAAATTCTTCTCAAGAATTGAATTATTTTCAATAATTTTAAAAAACATTCTTTGCAAGAATTTGATTCTTTTTATAAATAATAATATTTTCTGCGAGAATTCAATTATTTTTAATACAATTTTAATTAAATTTTTGTGAAAGAATTCACTTATTTTAAAAAAAAATTAATAACATTAATCCAAAATTCAATTATTTTGATAAATAATAAAACTCATCGAAGAATTTCAATTATATTTTTAATACTATTTTAAATTAATTTAATCGAAAAATTCAATTTTTTTCACAAATAAAGTTTTCCACAAGAATTAAATTATTTAAAATAAAATTTTCATAATTATTTATTATATTTCGAATTTAAATTATTTGAAAAAATGTTAATAAAAACACATTTAATTATTTTCGTAAATATAATAAAAATTTCATATGAATTCAATTATTTGCAAATTTTTTACAAATTTCTTTGCAATAATTCAATTATTTTCATAATACAATTTTTTACAGGGTTTTAATTATTTTTATAAATAAATATATATAAAATTCTTTTTATGAATTCAATTATTTTCATAAATAATAAAATTCATCGCAGGATTTCAATTATTTTTAATACAATTTTAAATTAATTCCTCGAAAAATATAATTAATTTGAAAAACTTTTTGCAAGAATTCAATTATTTGAAAAAAAATTTTTTAATAAAATTCTTGATAAGAATATTAGGTTATTTTCAAAAATTTGAATAAAACATTCTTTGGAAGAATTCAATTTTTTATAAAAATTAAAATTCATCTCTTCAATTATTTTCAAAACGAATTTTAATAAAATTTCACGAAAAGATTCAATTATTTTTTATTTTAAAAAAAAATTCTTCTTTAGAATTAAATTATTTTGAATAATTTTAATAACATTCTTTGGAAGAATTTGATTCTTTTTATAAATAAATAACAATATTTTCTGCGAGAGAATTCAATTATTTTTAATACAATTTTAATTAAATTTTCTCAAAAGAATTCAATTATTTAAAAAAAATTTTTCATAAAATTCTTCAAATGACTTTAATTATTTTCAAATTTTTTGGAAAAAAACTTTGCAAGAATTTAGTAATTTTCAGTGCATTAATTTTAAAATTGAAAAAATTGAAAAAGAAAATTTATTATAAAAAAGTTGAGAAGCAAAGAAAAATAACTAACTTCAAACTATGAATCTGATTATCATAATTTCCACGTGGAAATTATCAAAAATTAAACTTCTAAATATTTTTTTTTTTAAGTTGCATAAATTGAAATCCTTGAACGGTTTTTGAATTAAAGTGGCGACTTGTAAAAAAAATTTAAAGAAAAACGTAATTCAAGTTTTTTTTGACCAATATATACTATAGTGTTAAAATTTATATTCATTTTCTGTCATCTTTACAAACATATTCGCCATATTTCTTTCTACTGTATCATCAATTATTTTATGATCCATTCAACAAATATTTTACTGCTTCCAATCCGTTAGACACGACTCCCAATGTAAATTATTTCTTTTTACGCATAAATACGCAAGAAATATTGTTTAGGATCAGTATGGGAGAAAAATGTATATTATTCATCTTTTTAACGGAATTATAAGAAATTATTTTATTTCACGCCACTTTGAATGAAAAGAAATAATATGTCTTTTAGCTAAAAGCATCATCTTAATAACTTAAATAGAACATTTATTTTTTCTAATAGGAAATAAATGACCCATTTCTTCTGTCATATAATACGAAAATAATTCATCCGTCCACATTGTAAAGAGATGAAACTGTCTGATTCGTAATATTGATCCAAATGGTTTAATGAACTCTCTTGCATCGCTTCTTAATAAAGAAATTGAAAATCAATAAATTCCGCATCAGGATGAAAACTTAATAATATATTTTTTAGAATGCTTATCTAAATTGAAAATAAACAATTAATTATATGATTAATAAATATTAATTATTAAAAATCATAATTAATATTATTTATGATTAATTACCTAATATTAATTATTAAAAATCATATAATTAATATTATTTATGATTAATTAATTATATAATGCAAATTTTCGTTCAACAAAATTCACGCGGTTTTTTCCCGGTTTTTTTATTCTCATCAAATTTCAATTTATTTGATTTCAAACATAAATAAATTTACAAATGGCTTCCAAAAATTTTTATGAACAATTAAATAATTCTTTTGTCGAGTTTCTTTAAATTTTTTAAAAATAATTTTTTTTTAAATTTTAATTAAAAATTTGGAAAGTAATTGAATTAAACAAAGAATTTTTTCAATTTTTTTAAAAAAATCGTGTTTGTTCATAATTATAATTGAAAATTTGATGAATTCAATTTGATTAAATTTTATTGATATACTAATTAAATTTCTGCAAAGAATTTTATTATTTATAAAAAGTAATTGAATCCTTCCAAAGAATGTTATTATTTATATGAAAGAAATTAAATGTTTGGGTAGAATTTTATTAAAATTTTTATGAAAATAATTGATTATGAATCTTAACTCAAATTTACAAATTCAAAATGTCGATGAATTCAATATGTTGGAAAAAAATTAAAATCAATTTTTTCCTAAGTCTACAAAATTTGATGTATGGCTTTTAAAATTTAATGTCGCATTTATGCAGATTTTTCCTGAATATTGAGGCAAAAATTTTCCAAAAAAAATTGTTAACTTTATAATAACTTTTGATTATAACTTTATAATTAAAAAAAAACAAATTCTTAAAATTATTCAAATTTAAATTATTTTTATTCACAAATTGAAAATTAAAATTCTCATATTTTCATCATACATATTCAATAAAAGTAATACAAATTATATTGTTTCTTTAAAAAACAAAAAGAAAGTCACTCCACAAAATTTTTTTCTTTTTTAATATATAAATATTTCTTACACATAATAAAAAAAAATGATCGATGTCAGTTCTTCAAATTTTATAATTTTAAATATACATATAAGCGTATAATAATAATTCTCCGCGATTAGAAAGCAAAGAAAAGGGGAGAATTTTATAATTTAATTATTGTAATTCAATAATATATATTATGTACATAAAATTAATTTTCCATTTTTACTATAAATTTCATTATTTATGACAATCGTATGATAATTATTAAAATTTAAGGAAAATCTATAGTTTTGATCACTGTTCTTGGATGAAAGGAACTATGGATTGATTATTTTTTTTCTTGCTTACGTTTACGAATAAATAATGCTCTTCTACCGCAAATAATATTCTTTCTTGGCTCTGGATTGTGAATTTTACGCCAATTATTGCTGTCATTGAGAAAATCCATATTTTGATAAGCATTGATAATTTCATCATTTTTCTTTATTTGAGATTCAAAGTTGATGTGTTTATTTGATTTTGGTACGTCGTAAATAATTTCCGATGGTTTCTGATATAATGGAGGACTACGCTCTAATCCCCGTTGTTGCGAATTTTTTTTGTCCTTTATAATCGATGATTCAGTCTAAATAAAATATGGAATTTAAATATTCAGCTATAGCATGTAATCTTCTTTTTTAAATAAATGTGACGCTATCTGAATAAGAACGGGACCTTAGAAGCAAATCATTTTAAGGTTGGGTTAGAGTTACTTTTTTCTTGTTTGAAAGTTTCTTTTTACTTATTTCGAATTAAAATCAGTGTTTATTAAATATTTTAGTTTTAATGAAGACTTAAACTTTAATGATTTATATTGACAGTTGATCCTTTTTTTGTATTTTCATTTAAAAAATTGCAAACATAACCTATAATTTTTTGCTTCTAAGGTCCCTTTCTTCAGATCGCGTCACAAATATTTAATCATTATTATTATTTTTTTTCTAAGAAAACTAAGATTTTCAAATTCAAACCTTTTAAAATGCAATAACTTATTAAGAAATCCAAATTATTTACATCATTTCAATTCAATTATTATCTTCTAGAATTTTTAACTAAAATTCTTCTTCAAATCAATTGGGACGCATGATTATTCCCCAAATGTCATTTTTCCGAAATGTCATTTTACCGAATTGCACTTTTGCGAATAGTTATTTTTGCGAAAATCCATTTTTGCGAAATGTCATTTTTACGAATAGTCAGTTTTGCAAAAAGCCATTTTTGCGAATAGTAATTTTTGCGAAAAGTCATTTTTACGAATTTTCATTTTTGCGAATTGTAATTTTTGCGAATCGCCATTTTTACGAATTGTCACTTTTGCGAATCGACATTTTTACGAATCGCCATTTTTACGAATTGTCACTTATGCGAATCGACATTTTTACGAAATGTCATTTTTGCGAATAGCCATTTTTGCGAAAAGTAATTTTTACGAATTGTCGTTTTTGCGAATTGTCATTTTTGCGAAATTTCATTTTTGAGAAATGTCATTTATGCGAATTGTTACTTTTGCGAATCGCCATTTTTACGAATTGTCACTTTTCCGAAAAGTAATTTTTGCGAATTGTCATTTTTGCGAAAAATACAATAGTAAACTTGTAGTATATATAGATTCACTATTGTATTTTTCGCAAAAATGTCAATTCGCAAAAATGACTTTTCGGAAAAGTGACAATTCGTAAAAATGGCGATTCGCAAAAGTGACAATTCGCATAAATGACATTTCTCAAAAATGAAATTTCGCAAAAATGACAATTCGCAAAAACGACAATTCGTAAAAATTACTTTTCGCAAAAATGGCTATTCGCAAAAATGACATTTCGTAAAAATGTCGATTCGCAAAAGTGACAATTCGTAAAAATGTCGATTCGTAAAAATGTCGATTCGCAAAAGTGACAATTCGTAAAAATGGCGATTCGCAAAAATGACAATTCGCAAAAATGAAAATTCGTAAAAATGACTTTTCGCAAAAATTACTATTCGCAAAAATGGCTTTTCGCAAAAATGACAATTCGTAAAAATGACATTTCGCAAAAATGGCTTTTCGCAAAAATGACTATTCGCAAAAGTGCAGTTCGGTAAAATGACATTTTGGAAAAATGACATTTGGGGAATAATCATGCGTCCCAAATCAATTATTTCTTTTAAAAGTTCTTTCAGAATTTTCAAATATTTTAATTTGAAACCTTCTCAAAATTCAATTATTTCTAAAAATTCACGTTATAATGCTTTTATAATATTCAATTATTATCTAAAATTTCAACTGAAATTCATTTTTATGAAATGGAAATCAATTTTTATTAAAAAATTCTACGAGAATTCAATTATTTAAATACAAAAATACCAAAATTGAATAATTGAATGTCTCTAAAAATTAAATTCTCATAAAGAATTTTATAAAAAAATTTTTAAATAATTAAATTCTTTTGACGAATTTCAATAAAATTTTTAGGAATAATTACATTTTTCGAGAATTTCGATTAAAATTGTATTGAAAATAATTGAAATTTTGCGATGAGTTTTATTATTTATGAAAATAATTGAATTATTCCGAGGATTTTATAAAAAAATTTCAAATAATTGATTTTTTAAAAAAAAATTTAGATAAACTCTATTTTTAAATAATTCAATTTCTATGATATTTTCATTCTTTTAGAAAATAATTGAATTCTTGTGTTGAGTGTAATTGAATTCTATTGTTATTTATGGAAATAATGGAACTTTAACAATGAATTTTATTAAAATTTCTGAAAGTAATTTAATTTTTTTTTTTAATTTAATTTTTTTTTTTTTAATTTAATTTATTTAATTTTGTTTTTTAACTATTTATGAATTTTTCTATTCATTTATAAAGATAATTAAAATGTTGACAGTTTTTTTTAGTTTTTTTTTTTAAAATAATTGAATTTCTGTGAAGAATTTTATTACTTTCGAACATCATTGAATTGTTTTTTAGAATATTATGGAAATTTATAAAAATAATTGAATTCTTGTGAAGAATATTTTTTAAAAATAATATTCAAAAGAATTTAGTAAATCTGAAGAATTTTATTTATTTATGAAAATAATTGAAACGCTTTAAAAAATTTTCTTATGAAAATAATTGAAACACTTTAAAATATTTTCTTATGAAAATAATTGAATTATTGCGAAGAAATTTATAAAAAATTTGCTAATAATTGAATTCCTATATGAAATTTTTATTATTCACGAAAATAATTAAATGTTTTTTATTCCCATTTTTTCAAATAATTGAATTCTTTTGGAACATTTTTATTAAAATTTTTTTAAATAATTGAATTTCTTCAATTATTTGTAACTTCTCCAAAATTCAATTTTTTTAGTTAAAAGTTTAAACAATTCAAATTTCCAAGGATTTTAATTCGAACCCTTTTTTTAAAATTCAATTATTTCAAAAATTCACGCCATAATGCTTTTAATATTCAATTATTATCTAAAATTTTAACTGATTATTATTTTTTTAATCAATTTTTATTAGAAAATTCTAAGAGAATTTAATTATTTAAATAAAAAAATTAATTACTTTTTGAAATAATTGAATGTTTCTTAAAATTCATTTTTCATAAAGAATTTTATCAACAAATTTTTAAAGAATCCAACTTTTTCGACGAATTTTAATAAAATTTTTCAAGAATAATTAGGTAGCATTTTTCGAGGAATTCCATTAAAATTTTATTAAAAGTAATTGAAATTCTGCGATATGTTTTCAAATTCAATTTTAAAAATAATTGAAATACAAGGAATTTTATTATTTATGAAAATAATTGAATGTCTCTGTAAAAAATTTTATTATGAAAATAATTATAGAAGATAATTGCGAAAAAATTTATAAAAAATTTGTAAATAATTGAATTCTTGTTAAATGTTTTATTATTTATTAAAATAATTCAATTTTTTTCGTAAAATTTTTAAAAAATTTTTTGTAAATAATTGAATTCGATGGAAAAATTTTATTAAAACAGTAAATATTTCAAATAATTGAATTGAGAAAAATTTTTTTTAAATAATTGAAATTTTGCCAAGAATTTTATTAAAATTTTTGGAAAATAATTGAATTTTCAAAATTCAATTATTTTGAAAATAATTGAATTTGACGAGAATTTAAAAAAAAAATTGAACATAATTGAATTTCTGCGAAGAATTTTATTACTTTTGAAAATAATTGAATTTCTACAATTATTATTGTAACTTTGTCCAAAATTTAATTTTCTTCAGTGTTTTTAACTATAAATTCTTTTACAAATCAATTATTTTTAATAATTAATTAAATGTATATTTAAAAAAAATAAAAAGATTTCAGAAGAATTTGAATTATTAAAATTTTTCAAAAATCTAAGTTCTTTAAAGTTTCTTATGAAATTCGTTCAAAACTGAAAGTCTGAAATTTTATAAAATTTCAAATTAAAACCTTTTGAAGTTCAGATATTATAATGAAAATTGTAGAAGCTATCAAAATTGTTTTAAAATTGAATTCATTTTGAAATATTTAAGTAAAATTCTTCTTTAAATAATTTTTAAGTAATAATTTTATGAATTCAAGTTTGGTACAAATCTGAATCCTTTGTTTGATTTATAAAAAAAAAACTAAGTAAAAATCGAGAATTTTTGTTAATTTAAATTTTCATTGATCAAATAAATATTTTTGGTTACCAATAAAAAAAAATAGGTTTTACTCATTTACTTAAAAGAAAATGAAAAAAATACCTGAAAATCGTAAATTTCCTCTGGAAGTGGTTGAAGAAATGTCGATGCTCTTTTAGACCCATAAAATGGATGTATCGATGCACTACGATTATCTGATTGTGGTTTCGTCGCTGCCATTATTGTCGTGAATGTATCGTCACTTATTGGAGTGTCATCAAATTCGGTTTTATAAGATTTTGCCGCTTTCAGTAAAGCAGGCATCATATCACGACGAAAAAGACGCATTTCTTCACCTAAACTCTCCTTTTGACTTAAGGCATTACGTTTACCTCTTGGAAGTGCTGGATTATTGCGATTTTTAAATCCAATTAATGAACTTAAAACATTTTTAAACGTTTTTTTCTCTTCAAATTGTCCTGAACGTCTAGAAAAAAATTACAAAAAAAAAATAATGATCTACATTTAGATAATAAATAACGTTAAAAATTTTAGGTTATGTAATCTATGAACAAAAATTTATACGAGTACCTACCTGAAAATATTCTTTTTATTCTTGGTTTCTCTAAAAATAGTTGAAAGATTTTCTGACTTATCGGAATTTATGGAAAATTCATCATCATCATCATCATCATTATTATTTGTCTCAGGAAAACTTCGACGATATTTAACAAGATTCTCTGAATTATCAAAATGATTTTCTTCATCGATTTTCTCCTCATTTTTCGAACTAATAAAAAGAAATGAATAAAATAAAATTTTTTTTCAATTTTATTAATTGAATTTTATATCAAAAGAAAATTTTGTTTCAATTTACCTCCAAAATAAAGTTTTTCTTTTCTCAAAATAATTCTCATTTTTCTTCGTAACATGAATATTTTTTACCGAATTCAATTTAATATATTCATCGATTGTCAAATTTGTTAATGCTTCTCCTTGTTTAAAAATTTCAAATTCAAATTTTTTCTTATTCTTATCATCAATAGATTTTTTTGATGCTTTTTCCATTTTAGAATTATATTTTTCTTCGAAATAATTTTTTTTCTTCTCTAAAAATAAATGTGTGAATTTTAAATAGAAATTACAAAAAAAAAATTATTAATTTTTTAAATTTTCGGAAATTTTTTTTTTGTGAATAAATAAATAAAAATCGTTAAAAATAATGAAAATAAAATCAAAATTTTACCTTGATTTTCATAGGACACATGATTTTTGGATAATGGCCTAGAATAACATTTGGCGAAAAATTCATCATCAGCAGTGCAATGTCCACTTGCTCGATATTTTTTACTCTCCAGTGTGGCGACGAGTTTTTTTACAAAATTACGTGATTTCGGTGTTGAATTTGGCGATTTTGTAGAGGCCTCAAAGCCTTTTTTAAAATCACGTATCACATTTTCCGGTAAATAAGTTTTAGCCATTTTTACATCCTTGATGTTATATGTACGAAAACGATTCTCATCTAATTCTTCGTCAATTGTTATTTTTGTATCTTTCTCATTATTTAAAATCACTTGTGAAATTATTGAATTCTGACGTCTATTCACATTTCCTGACATTCTTAAATCAATGAATTTTAGAAAATTTAAATTAATTATCTAATTTTATAGAATTTCAGTAAAAATTAATTTAAAAAAAAAATATTTATTAATTAAAAAACAATAATTTTTTTTATAAATTTTTACAAATAAATTAATCAATATTTTTAAACATTTTTGAACAGAATTTTTATGGACATTTATTTATTACATAAATGGGTAAAATAATAAATAAATTTTTACTTGTTTTTAAATGAATGAAAATTATTTTATTTTCTGTAGCCCATATAAAAAAATAATTATTATAATATTTAATATAAAAGAATACTATAATTAATAAAAATGAACTCGAAAAAGATGATATTTTGAAAAAAGTTATAATTATTAAAATATTAATATAATATTATTATTAAGGAACTTGTCCCGTTAATAAATGAAATGAAATGAAAAATAAAAAAATAAATTTAAAGTTACAAAAAATGTTAATAAATTCAATTTTTTTATTTTAATTGTAAGTGACCAAAAATAATAAATATGATAAATTGAAAGATACCTTTGGTGTTTATCGTGCCTGATAGTGATCAAAACTATTACTGAATATCAAGAAAACAAACAAGTAAAGTTTACCGATTTTAATAATATACATACATAGTATAGAATTATAAAAGATTATATATAATATTGAAAAGTGACTCCAAATTAAAATTTTTGATTTAAATTGTTTGAAATTTTATATTTTATTAAAAAAAAAATAAAACATAAAATATTTAACTAATAATTTTTTTTATTAAAAAAAAATTCAGTTTTTTATTCATTTTTTTTCAATTTATTGAAAGTTTAATTATTATCGAGAGATGACTGTTTAAAATTTTTTAAAAAGTAAACAATAACAATATATTTTTTTAAATAACTTTCAAACAAAGTAATATTGTTAAAATTCTAAGAAGCAAAATTGTGAATCTTGCAAAGAGCAAAATTAGCCATTGATTTATAAATAAATATATAAAATAATATAAAAAAATTTGAAAATAATTGAATTTTATGAAGAATTTAATTATTTTCAATAAAATTCTTGAAGTCAATTTATAAATAATAAAAATCTTCGTAAAAAATTCAATTATTTTTTTATAAACAATAAAATTCTTATCAGGATTTCACTTATTTTCAATAATACAATTTTAATTAATTTCTTCAAGAATTTCAATTATTTTTAAAAATCTTGTAAAAATTCTCTGAGAAAATTCAATTATTTTAAAGAATAATTGAATTTTTAACAGGAGTTTAATTATTTAGAAAAATAATTGAATTTTTAACAGAAGTTTAATTATTTTAAAAAATAATTTAATTTTTAACAGGAGTTGAATTATTTAAAAAAAAACTTTTAATAAAATCCAATTCAAGAATTTTAATTATTTTTCAAAATCTTGTAAAAATTCTCTGAGAAAATTCAATTATTTTAAAGAATAATTGAATTTTTAACAGGAGTTCAATTATTTAAAAAAAACTTTTAATAAAATCCAATTCAAGAATTTCAATTATTTTTCAAAATAATGAAATTTTTGCTGGAATTCAATTATTTTACTTACAATTTTAATTGAATTTCAGGGAAAATTAAAGTATTTTTAAATTCTTCAAAAGAATTCAATAATATCAATAAATAATAAATTTTTCACAGGAATTCAATTATTTTAAAGAAAATTTTAATAAAATTTTTCTCAAAAATTCACTTATTTTTTTGTAAATTTTGCAAAAATTCAATTATTTAAAAAGTTTTAATAAAATTCTATATCAAGAATTCAATTATTTTCAGAAATAATTAAATTGCCAATTTACTGAAAATCAGTGGATTCTTGTAAAATATTTTTAAAAAAAAATTTGAATATGAATTGAATTAATTGTCGAGAATTTTATCAAAATTTTTTCATTTTAAATTTCGTAAAAATTATGTAATTTTTAAAAATAATTATAATTGAAAATTTACAAAAATAATTGAATTATTGCCAAAACAATTTTACAATTTACAAAAATAATTAAATTATTGCCAAAACAATTCTACAATTTACAAAAATAATTGAATTGTTTCGAAGAATTTTATATTTGGATTTTTTTGAAAATAATTGAATTTTTATTAAAACTCTTGAAAATAATTGAATTTAAATAATATTTTTAAAAATAATTGTATTTTTTCGAGAAAATGTATTAAAACTGTATTGTATTGAAAATAATTGAATTTCTCTAAAGAATTTTAATATTCATGAGAATAATGAAATTTTTGAGACAAATTTTATTAAAATTTTTTAATAATAAACAAGAATATTTAATATTATGTACTTTATAAGTGATTTATTTAAATTTTAAATCTTTAATCATTTAAAAATTGTTGTTTATTCTTGAAAATATAAATTTTTTTTAATTTACAAAATAATAAAATTACTGCGATAGAAAGAGAAGGAAAATAAAAAAATTTTGTACGGGACAAGGACACCACTAGTTTGTTCCTCTTTACCGCAGCGCACCACTACGGAAAACGGAACAAGCTAAACTAAAGGTACGTTCACACCCCCCTGCATATTCTGGTCCACTTTATAAAGAACGTTTCACTTCTATATTATATACATATTCAATGCTCGAATATTTCAAGCCTCGTGTCGGCAAACTCTGCCCTTTCTCTTCTCACCGCTTGGCTGGATATAATCACCGGTGTTTGAAGTGCTCATAAAAAATTAATATTTTCTTAAATTTTTTATCAAATTTTTTCTTTTAATTAAAAAAAAAAGTTATTCAAAAATGTCCGTGTGGAGAATACAGCGTATAATTCTCTCAAGAAGATCCTGTTTTAGAAAATTGTCACAAAGGAAACTTTGCATCATACCATGTGAGACAACTCAGCGGCCTCAGCGTTTATCAGGTTCGTTTTATACGTCTGTATATATTTAGCAAACAACGCAATAAATCAAGCTTAAAAAAGAATTTTAAATTTCCAAATGAAAACAACTACTTAACTTTGTATTTTCGAATTAAATCAAATTTACATTAAAATATATTTTCTAACCTTAAAGTATTGAACATTTTCGAGAAATTTATTATTAATTTCTGTTAATATTTAACTTTTGAGTTTAAAGATTTGTTTAAAGTATGAAATAATTATATTTGTTTAGGTACTTAAAACAAAAACTGATTTAGAAATAAAGTGAAATTTCTTTTATTCTTTCTTGGAATTTAAATGCATTTTTTTTATTGCACACATCGTTTGTTATGCTAAACATGGCGTTTGTAACGTATTTTACCACCACAAAGAATTCCTTTTCTTCAAATGAAAAAGGACATTAAACCCATTCTTACAGATTGTAATTATAATTCTTTAAAACAATTATTTTATATTTAAAAATGAGATAAATAAATTATTGAATAATTCTATAATATTTATTCTAATTCATAAAGTTTTATTACGCCAGATATCAAAAAAAAAAAACTTTTTTATTTTTTATTAACTCATTTATTACTACAAAGTGGAAAACTTAATAAAAACAAGCTAATATTTAATTTTATAATTCATCACATAAAAGTAGAATTCGTTTAGGATCGAAATTAATCTGAATGTCACTAAAATGGGTAATTTTTTATTTTCCCAAATAGTTTTCATCTCTAGGTCAAAACGCAGTTTTGATCTACTTTCATCTCAATTTTAACTAACCTAAAAAACGCATCTATCGTTTACGATTAATGCTTGACTGAACAAAACCATTAAATAAATAATTTATATTTATTGCGTGTACTTACTATGTAGAATTCCAGTAGTCCTTATTCTCATGTGCACATTGACTGTTTTTATTGAATTATTAATAATTTAATAAATAAATAATTAATTTTGACAAAAAAATAAACGCTGTGAAATTCATTTAAAGTATTAAGTATTTAAAAGTATTTAAAGTATTTAAAACATAAAGTATTAATATAATAATAATAACACGTTAATTAACGTTAACACGTTAATACTTTAACATATACTTTATTTATAACAGCGTTATAAAAATAAAAGAATAGTAGAATCCCGGCTACAATACAGTTTTTTTAATCTAATTTAATGTTCAAATTATAAATTAATAAAATAATTACTTAACTTCATTAATTATTTAATTATAAAAATAAAAGGGTAGTAGAATAATGGCTTTAATATATTTTTTCAAGTCAAATATTTCATTTTATAAACGTAACTCAATTATTATTTATTAATATCGAATTTATTTATAATGATAAATATATAAAATACAAAAACATGAAATAATAGGAAAAAATAGTCATTTGAATAATGGACATGAGGAATGTCTTGTTCTTTATTCGTTATAATTTATTAAAATTCATTACGCCCGATTAAGCCAGATTATTTCAGAAGTGATCTTTTTCATTATCAAATAATTCATTCATTCATTACTATCATATCACTTTAACGGTCAAAAATTTGACTTCACTATGTTTAATCCAAAATGACTTTGAAAAGAATAGATACTTTTAAAGTCAGTTTGATCATTCGTGTGTTAAAACTCATAGCTGCCGAGAATACTTCATTCAAAGAGAATGATTTTTCTTCAAAATCTAAATTTCTACATCTGTAGAAAATTAATGTAATTTATTAAGTGAACTGCGCCAGGTTATTTTTAAATAATTATTTTTTAATAATAATTTTTCATAATTGGTCATAAATAATAATAATAACAAATATTTGTATTTTAATTTTTCGCATCTTTCATCTCATTCAACATAACCTCAAACTTGAAATATTTTTAATAAAATATCACTGTGTTTTATTAGTTATATTTTTTAGTTTCGAGGTTATGTCGAGTGAGTTGAACGAATATTTTGCACAAAATATTAGGCGAATCACTCGAATCAAGATTTCTTATTCGAATCATCACAGGGCTCATTTTTTTTAAACATTAAGCTCTATTGCGCCAGGTTATTTTTTGATAACTTTTTTTTATCAATTCTAACTACAAATTTATAATTATTAAAAATTTATAAATGTATGAATACACTTTGTAACAAACTTTCATTTTTTTAATAACCGGCTCACAAGTCAGGTGAACCTATAATAAAAAAAATTTCCAGATACGAATCGAGCAAAAATTTTGCAACTGTATCTTTAGAAATAGACAAATTCTAGGAGAATTAGTGTTGAAAGATATAAATACAAAAAATTCTTTGTCGTTTCTTCGAATTTTCAGTATTTTTGGAAACATTATCACCATCTGTTTTTATTTTTTTTTTTTTGCACTTTCATCAATGAGCGTAAGGATCAAAATTAACGGAGGATTGTGTTGCAGTTCCGACTGTCATAAGGCGTTGACATCATTTACCGTTACTTCAAAATTAGTTACTCTTTTTTTTTAATAAACGATAAAGATTTTTTGATTTTTCAAGGAAAATGTCTAAATTGTTTTAGCATTGGTATGCAACTCTGTTAGACTTTTTTCATCTCAGACTGCAGCAGAAAGTAAAACTGAAGCTGAACTACATAACATCATAAGAGACACAGAGAAAGCTTCAGGTATGAAATCCTCTATTTTCCTTTTTTTCTGAAAAAACGAAGTAAATTTTAAAAAAATTCTTTTTAAATTTAAATTTTCTAAATCTTAAGTGAAATTGGTTAAAACTTTAATTTTAAAATTAAAGTTTTAAAAATTTTAAGTTTATAAATTAAAATTATTTCTCGTTTGAAAGTTTTAACAATAAAATGAAATTGTTTAAAAATTTTAAGCTTAAAATAAAAATATTTAAAATTTTAAGGTTAAATTGAAATAATTTTTTTTTTTAAGTTTTAACAAGTATGGAGTTATGTTTTTAACAAGTATTTGTAATTTTAACATTAAATTGAAATTGTTTAAAAGTTTTAACAATAAAATGAAATTGTTTAAAAAAGTTTGACAATAAAATGAAATTATTTGAAATTTTAAGAATAAAATGAAATTGTTTAAACTTTTAACCTTAAAATGAAAATATTCCAAATTTTAAGGTTCAATTATTGAAATTATATTTTATTTAAAAAATTTTAACAATAAAATGAAATTGTTTAAAATTTTAACATTAAAATGAAAACATTCAAAATTTTACGGTTAAATTGAAATTATTTTTTATTTGAAAATTTTTAACAAAATGAAATTGTTAAAAATTTTTACCAATAATATGAAATTGTTTAAAAGTTTTAACAATAAAATTAAATTGTTTAAAATTTTAACCTTAAAATGAAATTGTTTAAAATTTTAGAATTAAAATAAAAATATTAAAAATTTTAAGGTTCAATAATTGAAATTATTTTTTAATTAAAAATGTTTAACAATAAAATTGAAATTGTTTAAAATTTTCATTTTAACTTGAAATTATTTGGAATTTTAACGATAAATTGAAAATAATTTTTATTTTAAAAGTTTTAACAATAAGATAAAATTGTTCAAAAATTTAAACAATAAAATGAAATTGTTTAAAATTGTAACCTTAAAGTGAAAGTATTTGGTATTTTAGCGTTAAATTGGAATTATTGTTTATTTTGAAATTTTTAATTTAATAAAATAAAATTGTTTCAAATTTTTAACCTTAAAATGAAATTGTTTAAAAATTTTAAGCTTAAAATAAAAATATTTAAAATTTTAAAGTTAAATTGAAATTGTTTAAAAGTTTAACAATAAAATGAAATTGTTTAAAATTTGAACCTTAAAATGAATGTATTTTGAATTTTAACGTTAAATTAAAATTATTTTTCATTTGAAAAGTTTTAACAATAAAATGAATTTAAATTATTTTTTTTAGGTGACAGTTCGAAATATGAATTTCAATCCGAAACTAGAATGCTATTAGATATTGTTGCCAAATCTCTTTATTCTGATAAGGAGGTAATTATTTTTCTATTTGTAAATTAATATTAAATTATTTTTTTCTACAATTTTTCTAAGTTTTGAAAAATAAAACATTTAATAGTTACAATTTTTTAAAATTTCAGGTTTTTGTACGTGAATTAATTTCAAACGCAAGTGACGCTCTGGAGAAACTTCGGTACATAAGATCCAGTGAAAATTTATCAACCGATGAAGGTGGCGATAGAAGTTTGGAAATTCACATTGGAACCGATAAACAGAACCGAATACTTACACTTCAAGACACTGGAATTGGAATGACTCGCGATGAATTGATTTCTAATTTAGGAACAATTGCCCGTTCTGGCTCGAAGGTTATTATTTTTTTTCTACGTATTTTTATATCGAAATTTAGCAATAAAATAAAATTTTAAGAGAAAAAAATGTTAAATTGTTAACTTACAGACATTCTTGAAAAAAATAAAAGAAAATAAATTTTTTTCTAGTCAATTTTTATATAAAAATTTATCAATAAAATAAAATTTTAAGAGGAAAAAATGTTTATACTCAAAAGAATCGTTAACTTACAGGCATTCTTGGAAAAATTAAAATAAAAGAAAATAAATTTTTTTCTAGTCAATTTTTATATAAAAATTTATCAATAAAATTTTTAAGCTAGGAAAAAATGTTTATACTCAAAAGAATTGTTAACTTACAGGCATTCTTGGAAAAATTGAAAGAAAAACAAAGCTTTGATGCTTCAAATATTATTGGACAATTTGGCGTTGGATTTTACAGTGCTTTTATGGTTGCCGATAAAGTTGAAGTATTCACTAAATCTTATCAAAAGGATGCTGAGGGTCTTTACTGGAAAACTGACGGGTAAAATAATTTTTAAAAAATTTATTTTTTTTAAATTTTAAGAAAAATTAAAGTTTAATACGAAATTTAATTTTTTTAACGAATTTCTGTTTTTTAATAATAATTTTCGCCTTTTTTTTGCCAGATCGGGAACGTATGAAATTTCAAATGCCGACGGAGTACAACCGGGAACAAAAATAGTTTTACATTTACGAACAGATTGTCGAGAATTTAGCGACGATGACACAATTAACAGTAAGTATTTTCATTTTACTGTAAATTTTCTTTTTCTCTTTTAAAAGAAAATTAATTTTGAACGAACTAACGAAAATGTTTATTTTTACAGAAGTTATAAAGAAATACAGTAATTTTGTTGGAAGTCCCATTTTCGTGAATGGAAAAAAAGTCAATACTATTCAGGTTGGTTTAATTATTTTTGAATCGATTCTTATTCTTATTCTTATCGATTTCTATTCTCTATGAAAATTTATATTATTTTTTTTATTATGTTAGAATTTAAAAATATTTTTGTACTTAAAGATTTATTTTTTTTAAAATAAATAGCCTCTGTGGACAATGGAACCAAAGGATGTGACTCAAGAGCAACATGCGGAATTTTATCGTTTTATTGGCAATTGCTACGATTCACCACGTTTTACATTACATTATTCGACAGACGCGCCAATTAATATTAGAGCATTGCTCTATTTTCCCGATGAAAAGCCGAGTATTTTCGAAAGTAGCACGAGTTCATCAATTGGAGTTTCATTGTACAGTCGGAAAATTTTAATAATGAGTAAAGCGGATACAATTTTACCAAAATGGTTGAGATTTATTAAAGGCGTTGTCGATTCAGAGGACATTCCACTTAATTTAAGTAGAGAATTGCTGCAAAATAGCGCCCTCATTGCGTAAGTTTCTAAAGAAATTTTTAATTAAACTTATTTAGAAAAAATAGTATTTTAATCCTTTTCATCCTGTAATTTAGTATAAAAATCTGTATAAAAAAGGAATTTAATTTTTTAATACTTTAGTTTAGAATGAAATCTAATTGAAAATAAAAAATTTACATTTTTTTTACCATTTTTACTTTTTAAAATGAAAAATATACATATTTTTGCTCTGACAAAAAAAATGAAAATTAATTTATTGTATTTTTTTTACAGAAAACTTCGTAATGTTCTAACGTCTCGAATTTTGAAATTTATGTACGATCGGTCGGTGAAACAAACCGAGGAATTTACGAAATTTTACAAAGACTATGGATTCTTTTTAAAGGAAGGAATCGTTATGAGTAACGATACAACTGAAAAGGTAAGAGAGAAAAATTTTAAACTTAAAATATAAAAACAACAAAAAATGGAAATAAAATATTTAAAAACAATAGTTAACTATTTTTCTTATCACCTAATAGTTAACTATTTTTTGTTTTATATTTTAAAAAATTAAAAATATTTTACAAATTTTCTTCATTTTTAGAAATTTTAATTTTTTCGTTTTTTTTTAAAATTCTAGGAAGATATTGGTAAACTTATAAGATTTGAATCATCATTGAAAGAACCTGGAGAATTAGTTAGTCTTCCGGAATATTGTAAAACTCTAACACCGGAGCAAAAGGATATTTATTACTTGGCTGCACCAAGGTGAATTTTTAAAATGTTACAAATCTTTTAAAAATTATTTTCGAATCACTTTTTTAAGATATATTTAAATTTTTCAAATATATCTCATCTGTGATAAAAATCTTCTTGAATAATTGAAATTTTCTAAAATTTAATTGAAAATAATTAATTTTTTTCAACTATTTTGTTACAAATTTTGAAAGAACAATTTTTGAAAAATTTCAATTGCAAAGTTTTGAAAATAATTGAATTATCAAAAATTTTAATGAAAAATCTTTAAATGTAAAATTAATGAGAATTAGCTTCTAATTTTTTAAAATTCAACATTTTCAATATTTTCAATTACATATTTCCGAAAATTCAAATACACACAAAAAATAATATTTTAGAATTATTTTTAACATTTTGGAGAAAAAAATCATGTTCAAAATTTTTCATTAATATCATCAATAAAATTAATTAATTTTTTTTTTGAATTATACAAAAATTCTTTTAAGAAATTCAATTATTTTCAAAAAAATTGCATTAAAATATTTTTAAAAACTAATTCTTAGAATTGTTTCATCAAAATTTTTTTCATTCAATTCGAACAAATTGAATAAAACTACTTTTTTAGACTTATTAAAGAATTATAAATATTTATAATTAAAATTCTTTAAAAATTTGATTATTTTTATTTTTTTTCAAAAATTCAATTTTTAAAAGATTTTACCAAATTTCAATAGTTTGGAAATTTTTTATTTTTTTTAAAGTAGTTGTAAGAATTTTTTTTTATTATAATTTTTTGAAAATATTTTACTTTAATAACTTGGGAAAAAACACGGACCGTTACAATGATTATAAAAAATTGAGTTTTTGTATTTAAATAATTAATTTCTGGAAGAAGTTTCAAAAAATTATTTTAAATAATTGATTTAGAAATGAAGTTTAGTTGAAAATTGTAGAAAATAATTGAATTCACGTAGGGTTATAATGATAATTTTTAGAAATTATTAAGATTTATAAATTTTACTCATTATCCGTAAACTTTCATATTTTTCTGTAAAAAAGAATTTTGTCAGGGATAATAATTTTAATGTCAGTAAATTGATAAACTGAAAATTGTGACTACCCTGTATATTTTTTTTATATTTTACATTTTTAATGTCTTTTTCTTAAAAAGTATTTTAATTTTCTGTTTAGTCGAACATTAGCAGAACAATCGCCATATTATGAATCATTCAAGAAGCGAAATCTTGAAGTACTTTTCTGCACAGAACCATACGATGAATTGGTTTTAATGCACTTGGGACGTTTCAATAATCGTAATCTCACTTCCGTGGAGAAGGAATTGAGACAGGATCCAGATGCAGGAAAAGACGATCAATTTGGTAAGTTTCAAAATTTTCCTCCTTTTACTTTTTTTCTTTAAAAAATTTTAAACTTTGAAGAAAAATCTCTGAATTCTGGATTAACAAACAAATAATAAAATAACAAACAGAAAAATAAAATATAACTAATAAAAATGAAACAAAATATTAACAACATTAGAAAAGAATAAAGGCGTTGATATTAACAAAGGAAGTAATTTCCGAATTTTAAGAAATGTTTCACATTTTTTTTCAATTTGGTAAAAGAGATATTTTTTTATGGAAATAATTTTTATAAAAATTTTAATTTTTTCTATTTCTCCTTTAATAGAATCAATAAATAAGGGCGAAATTGACAATTTGATAAGCTATATGAAAACAGTGTTGGACAAAAAGGCTTTTGAAGTTAAAACAACAAATCGACTCGAATCGCATCCGTGCGTTGTGACTGTTCAGGATATGGCCTCAGCGAGGCATTTTATTCGAACGCAAAGTCACAAATTGGACGAAAATTCAAGATATCTTATGCTGCAACCACGATTTGAAATTAATCCAAAACATCCGATTATACAAAAATTAGTGAAAATTAGCAGTTCAGATTCCGTTTTAGCCGAGCTTCTTACAAAACAGGTAAATATTTTAAAATATGAAATAAAACACTCTTTAAAAACAATTTTAAAACACTCTTTACAAAACGAAAATAAAATTAAACAAGTAGAAACTATTTTTAATTTTATTTATTTTAATAACAATTACAAAGTTATGAAAAAATAAATACAAGTAAAATATGATTTATTATATAAATTTACATGTTATTTATTATATTTGTTATAATTTAAAAATTTTTAGTCTAAATTTTATTAAGTTTTCCTTTCTTTTCAGTTGTTTATGAATGCGATGGTTGGCGCCGGTCTTGTCGAAGATCCACGAACATTGCTGACGAGTATGAATGAATTATTAGCGAAAGCCTTAGAGAAACATTGATTATAATAAAAAGAAAATAAGAGGTGAGAGTTCTTTACATATTTGACTGATAATTACGTTTTCTATAAATTTAAATCTTGTTACAACGAATTTTTATTTTTTACTTTCCATATATTGCATTTAAATTGAAAATTTAAATATAAAAGTGAAAAATCTATTCCACACAGTGGTTAAAATTTTTAAAAATTCTATTAAATTTCTTCAAATGAAAAATGTTCTTTTTTTAATAGATTGATTTATAAATCAAATGTTTTGATACCTACATATTAAAAATTATAACTAATTTTCCGTTTTTGTGTACAAAAAGAAAGTTAACTTCAAAATAAAAATTGTACAGTTTTTTTGTAATTCATATTTTTCACTTATTTTACCCAAGATTAAAATTTTTTTTTGGGACAAATTTGGTAAAATTTTTCGTTTTCGTATTTTTATTTAGAAGTGGAAAATAAATTTCCACTTTTTATGCACAATTTTCTTTTTAGTCAACTTCTTTAAATTTACATAAATAAATAAATATTAGGCAATCAATAAATATTGAGCAATAATTTTATTAAATTAGAAAAATTAAATTTAAAAAAGTATATTTTTCCAAATTTGTTCCGATCGAGTGAAAAATTGATAATTTTAAAGAGATTAGAGGTTTTGACCATAGAATAAAAATTGTAAATTAAATTAAAAACAAAAAAATATTTGTCTAATACAGATGCAGTTGAGAGCTATTTTTAAATTCTATTCGCCTACGCAAGGGGAATTTTGATTAAAAAGAAAAAATTCCCAATAAAGGCGGTGATCAAAACCTGTGATTTCTTCAACTTTGTTGAGTGAGTATTAAGAAAACACCATTGTTAACATTACTTTTTTGAAATGAATTTTGAAATTCTTTGATTTTACGATTTTTCTTCAAAGAGGCATGCAAAAGTTTAGATTGAAAACAAAATTTCTATAAATATTTCAGTATTTATTTTAATTCCTTTTTCTGTAAAAATTTTGCTGGATTCTTTTCTTTAATTCTTACTTAATTTATTAAATCTAAAACAACTGATATCGTTGCAGAAAGAAGTGCTAAAGGAACCTTTGCTTACATTTATTTTGAAAGGAATATTAAAATCAATTCTGAGAAATAATTATCAGTTAAAATTAAGTTTGAAAAAATCAATCTTTTTTTTATTTAAATTGTTTTTATGATTCTAATTTAAAAGAAAATTTCAATTATAATTTTTATTATAGAGTTTTGTTTATAATTTTAAAATCTACTAATTTTAAAACTTTCTATAAAGTTGATAATATTCAAACACTTTTTTATGTTTTTGATAAAATAATCAATAAAACTTAACTGTTTTCACAAATTCGTTTAAAACTCAAATTTTTGTCTGTATGATCTTATTATGATTTTGATAGTTATTTGAAAAAAACAAAATTTTCATTATTCTTTACTAGCAAGAAACTGCAAAATAAAGAAACGTGAAATGCATAAAAACAGTACATGAAAAAATGAACCGAAATTTAAAAATAAGATGACAAAATTTTTTTAAAGATTTTTTTTTGCTTGTGCAGGATACACAAAAGAAATTCTCTTTGACCTTTTTTGAATGTTAATTATTGCCGTAAAAGTAAACTCAATGAATAGTTTTTCTTTATTTGAGGAAAAAATTTACAAAAATTTGTGTTTTACATGCTATATTTTATTTATTATTTATATAATATATTTTACATGTTTATATTTTCTAAGAAAAGATAACAAAATTCAGTTTATATATTTTTTGGGGAGATTGATATTAAGAATGATACAGATTTAATGAAAGTAATAGTTGTTTGAGAGTGAATGAAGTGTTTGCTTTAAATTTCAAATACTTTACGAGAACAATAACCATTTAGTGGTTAGAGCTAAAGATAAAAAGGTGCATCACCAAAATGTTTCTTTAAGATTCACGCTTCTTTAGTTGAATAGTGGCAACATCTATAGATTGCGAGGAATCACTGACATGAGGCTTGCGGATAATAATCACATTCCTAGCCACAAGGAAAATACAAAAACTATAACAGTAGTCACGTCAGAGTTCGTGATTTGCTGATGATGTGAAAAATGATAAATTTTATCTTCATGTCCAAAATTAGCTAATTGTCAGGGTTTTAACATTAATGTTAATATTTTTTGAAAAAATCTATTTTTTCAAAGCTGTTTAGTATCTTGAAGTTTTTCTCTCTAAAGACACTAAAAGCTAGATTTAAATTTATATCAGAATTTTCATTAAACTTCCCTTAGTATAATTTTTTTTTAAACTTGTAGATTTTATTTCCCATTTGAGAAAAAACCATTCATAAGTTTAAAAAAAAGTAGTCAAAAATATTGAATACAAATAATCTTTTCAATTTTTCCTAAAAATTAATTTTATAAAGAAATTTTGTCATCCATTTTTAACAATTTTAGAGACCAATTGCCAAAGAACATGTTTTTTTAATAAGGGATTATTGCAAAGAAATCATACAGGTAAAAATAAGATAAAATTACTTAAAAATTGATTAGTTATCAAAAACAGTAGAAAGAAAATCAAAATTATTTCTCATGGAAAAAATAATATAATTATAAATAAGAAATTAGAATTATAAAATTCATAAATATCAAAAAAAAGTCTTGGTTTGAAATCAATATAACGAATTTAAAAAAAAAAGATTGATTTTAAACTGATTAGATTTATTTCTTATATAATTTGACAATACTTTTTTATAACTGTAATCATTATTGTTTTTATATTTTTAAGAATTATAATTGTTATCAATTACAATTCTTCATTTTATGACTTGACAGATGAGGTTATTTTTTCATGTTTATTGATTTTAAAGATTTATTAATTAATAATCAAATTTGTCCTCGTCAATTTAGTATATTGGCGGAAATATTTAAAAGACAGTTAATAATTACTTGACAGTTAAGGTTACTTAAAATATTATCTTAATATTGATTTCAAAAATTTATTACTAAAAATAATCAAATTCATCCACCATCATTTAGTATTTCGGTAGTAATATCAGTAAGACTGCGAATAATTTTGTTACTTGACAAGTGAGGTTATGTACACAATTTTTTTACAATTAATTATTCCTTAAAATTTTATTACTAATAATAACAATATTCAAATTTATCTGTGTATTGTCCGGCAATTGATCGGAAAAATACACTGACAATGAAATATTGGAATGCAAATTCAATTGGTGATAAACTTGCAATAGATAACATATTTCTAAATATTTTTGTATCAGAAAGACAGTTTCGTTGAAAGTTCTATGAAAAGTGTTCGCACTTAACATTGCCTTGGGATATAAATTTTTTCTTTTCAACATCAATTCTCCCTAAACCATGTCGAGTGAGAATTTTGAATTCTTTTTGTCTCACCGCTCGTTTTCAACTATTTCCATTAACTGTCAATTTACCATCTTGTTCCTTCTGACTACGAAATATGTCGAGGGCTATTTAGTATTTCGGTAGAAATATCAAATAGACTGCGAATTATTTTATTACTTGACAATGAGGTTAAATTATATATTTTTTAATTATTAATTCTAAAAAATGTATTACTAATAATCAAATTCATCTATGCCTATTTAGTATTTCAGTAGAAATATCTAATAGATAGCGGATTATTTTATTACTTGACAATAAGGTTAAATATAACAAATTTTAATGATTGATTCGAAAAAAATTTGTTACTAATAATCAAATTCATCTACGCCTATTTAGTATTTCGGTAGAAATATCTAAAAGATTGCAAATTATTTTATTACTTGACAATAAGGTTAATCGATAATTTTTTTTTATTATTGATTCTAAAAAAATTATTACTAATAATAACCAAATTTTTCTAATATTTAGGTAGAAATATCTAATAGTTAGCGGATTATTTTATTATTTGACAGTTTGAGGTTATAACTACTTTTTTTAACTAATTATTTATTTTAAAAGGCTAATTAATTAATCAAATATAATTTCACGAAATTACTAACTGTTTAGATATCCGAATTATTTTATTACTTGACAGTTTGAGGTTATATAACTTGTTTATGTTGATTTAAAAGTTACATTAACAAAAAATTAAGTCCACTTAAACTTAGTGTTAGGCTAGAAATGCCTAATATTCCAGGAGTAGGAAAAATGAGTTAGGAAAGAAACATATAAATAAACCATTTTAAGTTTATAATCAACAAATTATTATTTCATCATAATATTAAGAAACTTATTTTCATTTTAATTGTTAATCAATATAATTATCCTGTTCTATTTCGATTTTTTAAGAAATATCAGTAATGACTTAAAATGTTGCTATGAGGAAGAATTAGTTAGGAAAGAAACACATTAATAAAAATTTTTTTAATTTTAATCTATAACTCATTATAAATTCATTATAATTCATCATAATTATTATAAATATGTAATAATTTAATATTTAATTATTAATTTAATTAATTAATCCTTCATTTAATTTGAATTAAGTACATAGTTGTACTTCAAAGACGATCTTAAGATACTTTGTGGCGTTTGATATCCATTCCAAGTAAAGAAATTTTTCTTTAATTTGAAATATTTTACTGATTATTTAATTCTAAGCAAATATTTGCGTTTCACTATTTTTAACTTTCATCCAAGTCAAAGCAGACAATGCTTGTAAAAGGTTTTATAAGACCCTTACTTTTTGCAACATTAAAAATAATGTTGACTTTAATTATCTTAATAACACTAGCTCAGATTTCTAAAAAAAAAAACCTTTTTACACTTGATTAATTATATACTCATTTTTAACTCCAATTCACTTTATTCATTTTTTTCACTTACAATTAATAATACAAAAATTATTTATCAATATAAATTATTCACTTTTCAAAACGATGGAAATTAATTCATTTAAAAAAATTATAGTTCATCAATGTCTAATATAATTAATTAGCACTAGCTCAGAATTTCACCTTAGAAAACCCTTTTTTATTATTTCTAATGTTAATTTTTTAACTTTTTATATTTTCATAATTATGTACTCATATTTTGTGTAATTTAATTTCATAATTCGCAGGATTGTTAATATTCTTTTTCAAAGCTTTTATATTTGTATCAAGCAAATTTAGTTGCATTTAAAATGCAATTATAACTAAAGGATGAAATTAACTTAAAAATTTTTTTAAATGTCTGAAATTTTTTTAGTTAATTGTTCTTTTAATTTCTATATAGTTTTTTTAAATTTTTATCCTACACTCATTCATAAAAACATTTTTTTTTAATTTTTTAAAATTTTATTTTTTTCTCAAATTTTTGTGCAAAACATTGGTTCCTAGCATTAAGAGATATTGAAATAAAAATTTCTGAAAAGAAGTGGTACATTCAAAAATGTAATAAATAATATTCTGAAAAGTAAGAAATTTTGTAAGTCAATAAAGAATGAAAGTAAAAATTAAATTAACTTACGCTGATTGTGGTGTTCGATTGTTAGTAATGTTAACAATAGTTTTTCTACTACTAGATCTACGAAAATGTATAACTGTTAACTTCTGTATCATATCTTCTGTAATTACTATGTAAAATTCTACTTCGTTGTACCTCATTTGTTAATTCTGCAATAAAATTTTATGAAAAAACTGAATTTATTCTTTTTTCTGTTTTCAACAAACCTTTAATATCTACATTAAAAGCATTAGCGGAAGTATATTTTGTTTACATTGAAAATTTAATTTGTTTTAGAAGAATAAATGTCATAAGAAAGCAAAAACTAAAAAAATAATTTTAACAATTTTAATCACAGGAGATACTTTATAAGATTAATTACTTCCAATTGTAACAATTCAGATTTTATATAAATAAAAATAATTTGTCAAATTAACGATTCATAAAAAATTATTTTTTAAAATTTATTATTAATTTTTTTTAATGAATAATGACTTTGGTAATTATTATTTCTTTATTCTTTTTTAATAATTGAAGTATATTTCTTAAATTTACCGCTTCAAAAGCTACATTCAATGAAATATGAAATTGGGTTGGCAAACCTGAGTATTCGTTTGAGCCTCTTATAAAAAAAATTACATCACATTTCCTGGGAATCCCTAAACTATAAACTAAAACAGTTGGACGAAATACGCCTTCATTGTGAGAAAGAAGTTTGTGCTTTAGACAGTTTTTCGCTGCAGAGAAAGGTAAAAGGTATGGTAAAATATATTTAATATAAAATCTGATAACCAATAGTCCCACATTCGATTCAATATATTTTTGTCTTAGATTTAAGTCTTGATATACATTTAAACATTAACGAAATTTTTAATCATTTATTTATTAATTTTTATAAATGCATGTTTTTATAAGTGATCTATTTTTATAATAAAACTAGTAATTCTATATATTTTATTCTACATATAAAACAAAATTCAACATTTTATGTTTAAGTAGTAAAAAAATAAATTTTGGAACAATTTAATAATTTCAAAAAAGAACAGTAATAAATAATGGATAAAGATTAAAGAATCAGAAAAATTAATTCAAAAGCATGTAAACTATTGGTAATCACAGTAAAAGTATTTAATGACCTTCATCTCTTAGACATCTAAAATTAGAAAATAGAGACGTGTCATATGCATCTTTTTAAACGGAGAGCGGAAATTAAAATATCCTATTTTCTATACTGATTTATTTATGCTACTCTTGAATTTTAAATGACAGCATTATTTTGAGTTTTAAAAAATTATTAAACTAATGAATCTGAAATTAAATGTAAACTATTTTAATTAGCAATTTTTCTACCTTTTTATTTTTATGTCAATAAATGAATAAAAAATGTTAATTAATTTTTTTAAAATTTAAAATTTAGGGACGCATGGTTATTCCCCAAATGCGTCATTTTTCCGAACTGCACTTTTTCGAATTGTTATTATTACGAAATGTCATTTTTGCGAAATGTCATTTATACGAATTGTCATTTTTGAGAAAATATATTTTATTATTAGAATAAAATATGCAGAATGGCAGTTATTTATATTCCGTCATATGAGTTATAAGAAGTGATAAACATTGTTATAAACTATTTCTTTTAATTACTGTATTGTATGATATTTCAACACACTTAACTAACTAATGTTTTAAATTAATTGTTCTTTCAGAAAATATAATGTTCACCCATGCCGGAAATATTTGTTCTCAAAATTTGACAGAATCATCCTGTCAAACAGGTGTTCATTTTTGCGCACTTTTGTCAATGATTTTATCATTGTACAAAAGTACCAACTATAAAAAAGAAAATAATAATGAACTTAACAATACGGATTATGATTTTATAATAGTTGGAGGAGGAACAGCAGGATCTGTTTTAGCAAGTAGACTTTCTGAAATACGTGACTGGAATGTAAGTATAAAAATTTCTTTTGACAATTATTTTAGTCACCATTTGTTTCTTTAATTTAAACACCTAATATTATCCTATCTTTTCCAATTAAACAAGAATAAGGTTATCAACCTTTTGGTTGAATAAATATCCAAGTAGAGGGGGAATCCACTACCTTTACAATTATTTTTGTTCGTAGGTCACGTTAGGGGTCTTCCATAAACCACGTGGTTTATGGAAGACCCCTTACAGTTAAAGTTTAAATTAACATTTTTTAAAACTAAATATAGCAATAATCTGCACTAGAATTGAATTAAAAAATTATTTAAATATTCCAGATTTTATTACTAGAAGCTGGTTTGGAAGAACCGCAAATTACCGAAGTTCCCGCCTTCAGTTCTGCCTTATGGGGTAGTAACTTGGATTGGAACTATGTATCCCAACCGGAAGATAAAGCATGTGGATCAAGAGGAGGACGTTGTCTATTATCTCTTGGAAAGGTAAATTTTAATAGAATCTTTGTTGGAATATGCACAGAAGAATAATTTTAAATCATTTCGAATCGTATTTTAATTTTAAAATTGAATAAATATTTTATTTGTAATTATATCAGGTGCTGGGTGGTTCTAGTGCCATTAATATGATGAAATATGTCAGAGGACATAAAACAGATTATGATTCATGGGAAGAGTTGGGAAACACTGCTTGGGGTTATAAAGATGTACTCCATTATTTTAAGAAATCGGAAAATAACACAAACAACAAGGTAGAGAAAACATTTTTTTTAATAGTTGAAATTTAATTCAATTTAATTTTTTGAATAGTTCTTTTTAATCCATTCTATTCTTACAGACAACGAATTCACAGTATCATAATTCCGGAGGTTATTTAACTGTTGAAAATAGTCCCTATTTGGATGCAAATATTCAGTCAGTTTTTCAAGCCCTTATGGAAATGAATTTCACAAACGTTGATGTCAACGGCGAGGAACAATTAGGAGCAACAATTTTGCAGACTACGACAAAAGGTGGAATTCGACAAAGTACAAATACTGCTTTTCTAAAACCAATAAGATTAACGAGAAAGAATTTAAAAATATTAACAAACGTTCACGTAGTAAAACTTATAATTGACGAAAATAAGAATATAACGGGAGTTATATATAAAGACAATGAGGGGAAATTAAATAGAGTTTTTTCTAAAAAAGAAACTATACTGTCGGCTGGAGTATTTAATACACCAAAGATTTTATTGCTTTCTGGAATAGGAGAAAAAGAGGAATTAGAAAAACATCAAATTGATGTAATTGTTGATTTGCCAGGTGTTGGGAAAAATTTACAAGATCACGTCAGACTTAATGCTTTATATTTCCAATTACCAGGGGAATTATCGAGGGAAAAATCCTTAATGAATAAGAAAGAAGATTTAGCTAGGTATTTTAATGAGCGTCAAGGACCCTTAACATCTATAGGTTTGAATTTGGTTTGTGCCTTTGCGCAAACTAAATACGAAAAAAGATTAAAAGTGCCGGATGTAAAATTTGTATTTTCTGGAACACTTACCGAGCGTTTATTCAATGAATCAATTTGTAAATCGCCGCAAATATTAACCTATTACGATGCTTTTAGTTTAAATATAGAACTCCAAGCTCCAGAAAGTAGAGGCTTTTTACAACTAAATAGTACAGATCCAGTTTGGGGGGCTCCCGAAATTAATTTAAATTATTTTAATAATTCTAAAGATCTAGACCTTCTAATGGAGGCAATTAGGATAGGTATGAAAATTAATACAACAAAAATAGTTGAGAGTCGTAAATTTCAATTATTTCAACGTCCCGGTTGTGAAGAATGGAATTTTAACACATACGATTATTGGATGTGTTATATAAAAAAATATGCCGATGCAGGATACCATTTTGTAGGTACTTGTAAAATGGGTCCTAAAAATGATTCGAATGCGGTTGTTGATCCTAGATTGCGGGTCTACGGAGTCGAAAGATTAAGAGTAGTAGACGCTTCAATTATGCCCATAATCCCAAGGGGAAATACAAATGCCCCAACAATTATGATAGCCGAAAAGGCTGCCGATATGATAAAGGAAGATTGGATGAGTAAGTAAACATATGTTTACAACTTTTTATAGGTTTTTTTTACCATATGTTCCGAACCTTTTTGAGAAAACCTCAATTCTTAAAAATGATAGCATAAATCCATTCCTTGCAAAAATAATAACATGAACCTTAATTTTGTTAAAGGCAAGGATAAAAATGTAAAATCTAAAAATACCAATACTGTTTATAAAATTGTGAGAATTGCTCTTTTGATTGGAACAATTCTATAATATTAGATAGAGAAACCAACTACAAAAAACGTTTGATATAAGAAATGATCCACATTAATTTACAAGAAAAACCCGATTAATAAAAAGGAAGATGTACAAAATCTTAAAAATTGCTATAATCAATATAACTATTTGTAACTAATTTTCATGTTTTCTAAGAATGTATTTTGATTTAATTATATTTTTTAAAAAATAAACTGTAGTTTCTGTGGAGGGCATCCGAAGAAATTTTTGTTCTTTTATTTACATATTTACTGACTCGGAATGATCGTTAAATTCAATGCTTTATCAAATAATTAAAACAACCGAGTGATAAAATCAAATATTTTTTATAACTGCGAATAACAGAAAAAATATTCCATTTTGTATTTTAAACTACGTAAAGTATTAGAATTAAGTCAGGGCCATTTTCATCTACAGATACCTGCACCGACATTTATCGACTAGTTTTTATCAGAACTCTGGATCTGTACTGTAAATTTGATGTAATCAAAATCACATGTCAATTAATATTAATAAATGCTGTAATCTCATTCTCCAAGGGTACATACAGAAATAAATTTATTTTATTGAATAATAATCCTAGTTATTTAATTTTAAAGTTATAAAATTAAAAAAGAAAATTATTCAGTGTAATTAAGGTCAAAGAATGCGTCACCAAAATCACGGTAATAGTGAACAAGGAAAATTTGTTTGCACATAAATATTTCATTTTATTTACTTTTTCGTTAGAGAACAGAAATGTTTTCCTATCATACACTTTAAATGCAGAATCTTATCGTCTTTATTTTCCTGTTAGGATTCTATTAATCGTCTTTAAGTCGAACAAGAAGCATATTCAGCACTGTACCTTGAAATCTTTTTTATCCAGTTTGCAAAATTACTACCAATCATAAAAAAATGTGTTGGATTCCTGAAAAATTATCAGATCAATGTTTTAATAATACTGTAAGTTCTGTTTGTCAACCATCGACATTTTTGTTTTTGAAACTTATTTACGATCTTTTTGGCTCATCAACATGTAAAGCGAAACCAAGAAAGAATATTGCTAAAGAGTACGACTTCATAATTATTGGAGGTGGTTCTGCGGGATGTGTTCTCGCAAATCGACTAAGTGAAATAAAAGATTGGAATGTACGTAAATGTTAATAAATATTTTTGTTCAAGTGTTGCCATTGTTGAAAAAAAAACTTTAAAAATATTCTTAAAGTGATGTAAATAGTTAGTAATTTCAGAAAATGGATTGTTTAGAAGTACATAAGGTACATATGTTTATAAAATTTTGATTAGGTTCTGTTCTATTGATTTAGGTTCTATTACTAGAGGCAGGTGTGGAAGAACCAATGGTAACTGACGTACCAGCTTTTGCCAATATACTTCAACGTACAAACATTGATTGGGATTTTAAAGCACAGGAAGAAAATACATCATGTTTGTTAAACAGAGGCTGCACATGGTCGTATGGAAAGGTCGAAATAATTTAAATGCTCTATTACAAAAAACAATTTCGAAATTCAAAAGACAGAATTCTTTCAAAATTTAGGTATTAGGGGGGTCTAGTTCAATCAGTGGAATGCTGTACGTAAGAGGAAATCGAATTGATTATGACGCTTGGGCGAATTTAGGTAACATCGGTTGGAGTTATGAAGATGTACTGCATTATTTCAAGAAATCAGAAGACAATAGAGATGAGACGGTATTTTTAAAATTCAATACCTTCCCTTTCCTAAAATCTAGCATATTTGAATATTCTAAATTTAAACCGAGAAATACAGCATAAATATTATTCCAGATAGTGTACAATAATCATCATTATCACAGTACAGGAGGATATCAGTCAGTGGAAAAATTATCATACCAGGATCAGCATACAAAAAATCTAATGGAAGCCAGCAAACAAATGGGTTACAGAGTATTGGATGTGAATGGAGAACAACAATTAGGAGCAATGGTTCTTCAGGCTACATCCAATGGAGGAAGACGTCAAAGTTCAAATAAAGCTTTTATTGAACCGATTAGAACAAAGCGAGCTAATTTAGTTATAGAAACCGAGGCGTACGTTACACGAATACTAATTGATCGAAAGACGAAAAAAGCCTATGGTGTTGAGTATACATCACCAGGAAGCAATATGAAAAAAATGGTGAAAGCGCGAAAGGAAATCATTTTATCAGCAGGAGCTATAAAGTCACCTCAGTTATTGATGGTTTCTGGTATAGGTCCAACTGCAGAACTTAAAAAACACAACATTGAAGTCATTTATAATTCGGCAGTGGGGAGAAATCTCCAGGATCATGTGACATTCACGGGAATCTACATCCTTCTAAATCATACAGACAGGACATTAGAGCAGAAGAAAGAAGACTTACGCACATTTCTAAAAAATCAAAAGGGACCCTTGTCGTCAATAGGTCCTCAAATAATATCAATTTTTGGTCGAACGATTTTTGAAAAACAAAATGCACCTGACATTCAATTTCTTTTTATAGGAACAAAGATTAAGGATCTAGATCTAAGTCCAATAATGAGTTACTATGACTCTATTCTCTTTTATCCGACATTATTGACTCCTAAGAGTAGAGGGACTATAAAACTTAATGAAACAGATCCTGTATGGGGTTCACCTGTTATTCATCCAGGATATCTTACGAATAAGGAAGACACTGACCGACTATTAAAGGCCATAAGAATGTGTCTTCAATTCTTTGGGACTAAGAGTTTCATGGACAATAACTATCGATTGTACGATACTCCCCAATCGCCTTGTGATAATTTAAGATTGAATAGTGATGAATATTGGATTTGTTTGTTAAGAGCGAAAACAGTGCCTGGTTCTCATGCAGCTGGTTCTTGTAAAATGGGACCAAAAAATGATCCTGAAGCTGTCGTGGATTCGAGATTACGAGTGTATGGGGTCAAAAGATTACGAGTTGTCGATGCATCTATTATGCCTATTATACCTCGTGGAAATACTCATGCCCCTACTGTTATGATTGCTGAAAAAGCTAGTGATTTAATAAAAGACGATTGGTATTTCAGATAATAGGTTTTGAAAAATTGGGGAAAAGTTCAACCTTACAATATTTTTAAACTATTTTTGCAAAACTGTCACAACAAAAACTACTTATGCAAACCTTAATTATAGACCTATAGCTAATAGTAACTGTGCTAAAATGTTTGAATTCTGTGACACACCAACTTTTAATTCTGCTTTTTTTGTTTTCGAATTTCAAGATAGCTGCATCGAAAGATTAACAATAACTAATTTAACTAATTTATTTACGAGCAAAAATAAAGTATATACGGATTTAGAAAGAAAGGATATAAAAAGAGGGACATAAAAAGGGTTACAGAAATTACATAATTTTTTGCAGTACTTTTATAATTTATTTATAAAATAATAAATTAAAAAATAGAAAATATTTTACAGTGCAGTGATTTAAATATAAATTTAATGGTATTTCTTCAATTAAAACTTCCATTTACCTTGGATTCCAATGTAAGGATCCATACTGTGTCCGGGATACTTGATGCCACCACCAGTGACGCTAAATTGACGACTCTCTCGATCACTCACTGGTTTCTGCCCTGGATTTGCTTCTCTCTTGAAACGCCATTGTCCTTGGACTCCAACGGTAGGCTCCCAGTTACGCCCTGGGTACCTGACGCCACCACCAGTGGCACTGAAGTGACCGTGTTTGTTTTCGAATACTTTGTGTTTACCCACATAGCACAATAGTATGAGGTAAGGTTATGTTGAATACTAATCGTAAGGCACATAAGGTTACACGATATTGCTGTGGTAGACCTAAGGTGAACTAAAAACTTCCGCCATGGAGGTGAGGTTACATGTTAGGGTGTGGTGACTATATATGATAAGGCCATGGTAACCTTACACGTTAAGGTTGAGGTAACGTTACATGTTAAGGTTGAGGTAAGGTTACATGTTAAGGTTGAGGTAACGTTACATGTTAAGGTTGAGGTAAGGTTACATGTCAAGGCTGAGGTAAGGTAATTATTAAGTTGTAAGGTTGAGGTAAGGTTAAGGTAAGGTTGTGATAAGTTTACCAGTTATGGAAAATATTGAAAAAATAATTAATAAATAAATATTCAATTAAAATGTTAAGTTTGTTGCTCTTCTCTATTTTGGAAACCTGACATGAAGCAGAAAATTTTGAAAACAAATTTGGGGGGACTGGGATTCGAACCCGGGATCGGCGCGCATAAACCTATCATTCTAACTAACTGAGCTAAGTAGAGAACTGGCAGAAGGAAAATTAATGTTGCCTTTAAGGTGAACCAAGAAGATGATTAACTCCTTAAAGGCAACATTAATTTTCCTTCTGCCAGTTCTCTACTTAGCTCAGTTAGTTAGAATGATAGGTTTATGCGCGCCGATCCCGGGTTCGAATCCCAGTCCCCCCAAATTTGTTTTCAAAATTTTCTGCTTCATGTCAGGTTTCCAAAATAGAGAAGAGCAACACACTTAACATTTTAATTGAATATTTATTTATTAATTATTTTTTCAATATTTTCTATAACTGGTAAACTTATCACAACCTTACCTCAACCTTACAACTTAATAATTACCTTACCTCAGCCTTGACATGTAACCTTACCTCAACCTTAACATGTAACGTTACCTCAACCTTAACATGTAACCTTACATCAACCTTAACATGTAACGTTACCTCAACCTTAACGTGTAAGGTTACCATGGCCTTATCATATATAGTCACCACACCCTAACATGTAACCTTACCTCCATGGCGGAAGTTTTTAGTTCACCTCAGGTCTACCACAGCAATATCGTGTAACCTTATGAGCCTTACGATTAGTACTCAACATAACCTTACCTCATACTATTGTGCTATGTGGGTATAGTCAACATTGTAAGTTGGACGACGCTCTGGACCACTCAATGGTTTCTGGAATCCAAAACTGGCGGATCCTTGAGGATTCGCTTCCCTTGCATAGCGATGTGGTTTAGGTGGTGGTGGACGATTCTGTAATGAAAAAAAGTTATTTTAATAAAATCTCTGAACATTCTACTCAATATATTATTAGCTCTATTCTCTAGGTTGTCTCTATTATTTGTAGTTACTTATTTGTATGATGCTTTAGATTGATATATTTCATTAACCAAAGAGTAATTATTACAACTTACAATTAAGACTGGTGGTCGCTCTCGCCTTGGTAGCCCTGCAAGGGTTAATGAAAGACTAGTCGCTACAAGAGCAAATAGAAATATTAACTTCACCATTTTCTTTTCACAGTATTAGAAAATTATATTTTTGGAAAGTGTAATGTTCCTTTCACGGTTACCACGAGTTTGATCATTTTAGTTACTGTTCAAGTATTTATATACAAATTTTTATGAAACAAAAACGTATGCAAATTGTTTTTGGGGATCCACTTAAGTTTCCTTACGTCCAGGGATTCACTCATATCAAATGTAATCCGAATGAATTTGCAAACGGAAATTATGGGAATTACCAGAAATTTACGCGTATATATCGCAAGTTGTTATCTCATTACCACGCTTATTTAACTTTTTATTTTTATTTATGATTTTATGCCAGTAGCAAAATGTATAGTTTTTATTATATAAATCAACAGAAAAGATAGAGTCAATGCTATTTTCTTTATTAACGATATTTTTATCTGCATATATAGTAGACTTCTTTGTCTTTGTAGTATACATATATATCATATTATTAATTTATGATTTGTTTATCTTGTGCTTTTCCTCTTGCAACTTATAATGAATGTTTTGCTGTTTGCACAATTGTGTGTATAAACATTATCACTAATAAGAAGAAAGAGTAATAAAATGTGTTACATAATTTTTAATATTATTTCTGTGTGGTGTTTTCAGCTGATGCTTTTGAATTCAATTAGTTCATTCACATTACTATATTTTGAAACGAGTAAATCCCTGGATGAAGGAAATTAAGTGATTCCCCACAGAAGAAATTGCAGACATTTTTTTTTATTAATTTTCGTATATAAATTGTTGGACAAAATTAAAATGATCACAATTGAGGTAGCATTACAAGAAGCAATACAGTTGGTAATTACTTTTTATAATATTAAATACTACGCAAGTTAAACAAGTTCTTAAAACTAAATAGATATACTTAAAAATAATTATTAAAATAGTCAATATTATAATTAAATACCATAAACTTATTTTTGCAATAAAATTATAAATTACTTTCCTAGAGAAAAGTGTTTTCTATATTCTTCAACATAATTTATACACATTTGATAAAAAATAAGGTCAAATAATATTAAATATAATCTTATTTTCAGATACTGAAAAGAAAATGGCGAAATTAATTTTTCTACTAGCTGTTGTTGCAACGTGCCTTTCTTTAACCCTTGCAGGTTTACCAAGACGAGAACGACCACCAGTCTTAATTGTAAGTTGTAGTAATAACTACTCTTTGGTTAATGAATTATATCAATCTAAAGCATCATACAAATAAGTAACTACAAATAATAGAGACAACCTAGAGAATAGAGCTAATAATATATTGAGTAGAATGTTCAGAGATTTTATTAAAATACCTTTTTTCGTTACAGAATCGTCCACCACCACCTAAACCACATCGTTATGCAAGGGAAGCGAATCCTCAAGGATCCGCCAGTTTTGGATTCCAGAAACCATTGAGTGGTCCAGAACGTCGTCCAACTTACAATGTTGACTATAATCACAAAGTATTCGAAAACAAACACGGTCACTTCAGTGCCACTGGTGGAGGCGTCAGGTACCCAGGGCGTAACTGGGAGCCTACCGTTGGGGTCCAAGGACAATGGCGTTTCAGGAGAGAAGCCAATCCTCAAGGATCCGCCAGTTTTGGATTCCAGAAACCATTGAGTGGTCCAGAACGTCGTCCAACTTACAATGTTGACTATAATCACAAAGTATTCGAAAACAAACACGGTCACTTTAGCGCTACCGGCGGTGGCGTCAGGTACCCAGGGCGTAGCTGGGAACCTACAGTGGGAGTCCAAGGTCAATGGAGATTCTAATCACAATACTTAAAGATTCTATTTATTAATTCAATACATTGGAGACTGAAGAATATTTATGATTTTTTACATTTATCAGTTTATAAATAAATTTGCTAAAATATCAAATCAAAAGACTTTTTACTTTAAGGGGTTACCCCCACTTGTAGCGCAAAAAAATAAGCCTTTTTTATGAATTTTTTTAAAGAAAACTACAAAACCTTTTTAATCTATAACTATATCATCTTAAAGAACACATATTGAAGAACTTTTAGTAATTTTTTTGTTAAAAAATATTACATAGTTAAGTGTCAAACTGCCGTCAACAAAATAATATTTTTATTTATACGGTTTGCGGTGACCAACATTGCGGCGAAGTGAATCATCGGAATCAAAAAATGTGGATAAATTTAGTCAAATATGAGTATAAACTAGTCTTTAATCGAAGGATTTAAAAAAATATTTATTTTTCACAAAATGGCTGACAGTCTAAGTTAAAAGTTCGATTTTAACGAAAAAAAACGTCCGTTTTTTGGCTATAAAACGGACATTTTTTTTCGAAAAAGAAAATCGAACGATTAAAGACTACATTTTTATGTATTAAATAAGCCTGCAAAATTTCAAGAAGATCGGTTCATTAGTGTTTGAGTAATCTTGGTCACCGACTTCAGAAATGCCATTTCGAGAAAAGTTTCAATTTCAGTTTCCACGAAGAAAATAATTTTTTTGTAAAGTTACATAGAATCAACTCCGGTAAGTGGGAGTACGTAATAGTTTGGTTTCCAGAAGTAGGCTGAAAAGTCATGGTGGTAATTAAAAAAAAGATATTCATTTTATCGATGCATATATGTATATACAAATCAGTATATATCAGTCTCTTTCGTCTCTTTCAAAGCTCATATCTCAGTCAATTTTGTTGGAATTGACTTGAAATTTTCAGGACATACTTTCAGTTACTTATGCTTCAAAAAAATGCAATAAAAGAAAAATCGATTTTTTCAAAGTTGCAAGTGGGGGTAACCCCTTAACACTCTAATATTTATTGCACCTGCGATTTTGAATTAGGGTTAGTTTTTTTGAAATATACTTTTCGATCAATTCCAAAAGCTGTTATTGCAATTTCCTTTACAATTGGTGCCCGAAATGAATCTGTAAAAATTATTGTTTTAAACATGTAAAATAAAGTTTCTTTTAAACGTTTCTATTGAACTATCTTTCTACAAAGAAGGTATACTTACCTCTTGTTGGTAACAGTCGATTTCTATCACTGTTCAGAATTCTTACTGCTCAAAGTAACATTACAGAAAGCTTATATATGGCTAGCTTATTCTATTATGGATGGAACATTTCAAGCTTGCGCTGCATTATTACGTGATATCTGGAGATTTATATAACAATAGGAAGCAAAAGTAAAATTATTTTCAGTGACCTTTATGTTCCCTCTTGCTATAATTTTCTATAAGTATACTTTATTAAAAGCGACCTTTACGAATTAAGTTATTTTGTATCTTTTACATCTGTCATTGTAGATTCTTAATTAATAACTTGAAAACAATTAATTGCGTGATACACATTTTTGAACGAAATTAACCTATTCACGTAAAATAATTACAAATTTCTTCTTTTGTACAGCTGTAATAAGATGATACGTAATTATTAACATTAAAAAGTAATTAGCGAATATTAATGTTTACGAACAAACTTATTAGTAATCTTATATGATGCTCTCTGATGACTTTAAAATTTATATTCATGTACCGAGTGTTCTAAAAATTTTACAAGTACAATTACTACACATGTAAAATTTACTTACCTTATTTAGTTATTTTTCTATTTTCTTATTTTTATTCTTTGATTTTCAATATTTACACACTTACACTAAAGGATGTTTTTATATATCAATATATAGATTTTACATATGAGAGGGAAAGGAACAGAAAACGGAAAATTACAGAATATATTTCTATCCTTTTCTCTCCCACGTTCAAGTATAAGCAAAGTACTGTTGTTGGTACCTAAACTTTAATTTACAGTTTCATAATTAATATAATTATAATTATTATATAATTATAGAAACTATAATGACAATTATGCCAAAGTGTAATTAATAATAATTATAATTACTATAATTATTATAATTATAACAAATAATTAATATTAACAATAATTAAAATTAATATATAATTTATATAATTTCAATTATTATATTAATATACCTAAAATTTAAAAAATTATTATTCTTAAATTTTTACTCGATTTTCGTAATTTTACAATAAAATTAAAAGTATAATTAAATTGAAATTTTTTTTGTTATCACCCGACATATAATATTACAGGAGGGGAATTCATTCAATTCAAGTTTGCTCGCTCCAATACTTTTCACGCTGGAGAGATGTAAAGAAGATAAGGAGACTTATATTCATTTAGTAACAACAAAAATTATCCCACACGCTTTTAAAAGCGCCAACGTAGCCGTCCATATTATTTATTATCATCTCTTCTTTTTTAATTAAATAAATATTTTTATTTTTTAACTATTACATTTTTTATAATTGCCAGTGTATTTTGATTTTTATTTTTAATAAAAAAAAAACAAGTGATAAAGTGACAAAATAACAGGAAAATAAAGGAATATTTTAACGACAATTTTAAAGATGAATGCTAATATCGAGGTATGTCGACCTGTTTTTCTAAACAGTGAAAAAGTATATTATAAATTTTCCCTATCTTAAGAATTTTTATCTTTGAAAAAATTAACAAATTTTTATATTTTTTCAAATGAATTTAATTTTAAAAATAATTTTCTTTTTCATTTTATAATTTTTAGGTTAGAAATTGGTTTTATTTCTATCGTTTCTATCATTTCTATATTTTTATAGATTTATAACATGAATAGAGTGAAGGAAATTTTTTTCCTCTTGAATCATCGATATTAAATCGTCGATGTTAAATTTTTTGCCTCTATTTATTGACTGTTAATGCTTTTAATTAATCATTTATAGAAGGTCACAAAAGTTGAGTTTGCAAAGATAAACAAATTTGTCTGTTTTCTTATTTTACCGCTAGGAGAAGCAATTCCTTTATAGCCGCGAAATACGAAGAGGAAAAATTGGGAAAAATTGCAGAAGAAAAATTCTCTTTTATCATTTGGGATAATTTTTCCAAAATTAGAATATTGGAGAATATTTTTCTTTAAACGAAAAGAATAATACAATGGAAGGAGAACAAAATTTTGCAGTATTTCGATGATTTCGATATAAAAAATATTTTCGTAATTTTATTTTATCCTTCACGTACCTTAATTTTCAATTATAAAATTAATTTTCCTAGAATATATTTATTTATTGAGAAAAAATTGCCTTTTTTTTGCCTAATTTCGTCAAAAAAAAAAAAAAAAATTCTTTGGACCCTATTCGAAAGTTAAATACCGATTTAACTTTGTATCTCTTATTTTAAACAATGTGCGCCTAGAAATGGTTCTAATAATAAATTTTCTAGCCGTTCCTGGCTGATGCCGGGCGTCTGCTTTCTAATAGTCTCTGAGAGTTATATTATTAACATGGATGAAATTTTCTCACACGTTTCATTCATATCGACCAATGGAGTTTAATTTCATCACATTCGTCGTGTTTCACTTTCTTTTAATTTGAAATTTTTAGAAAAATAAAAATTCCCGAGTATTTATATATAATTGCTTTTAATTCGCGATCGATCTTGACCTTTGTCAACAAGGAAATTCTAACTAAGAGTGGGTGAAGGGGTGAGAGAGGGAGATATACAGAAAGTGTGACCGTGACCACGTGTAAAATTTTCGAGTTACTCTTTTTCAATGACAAGTTCAAGATCTTTGGTAATGTATTATACATTCCATGACCACATTGCTTTTCGTTATTTCATTCAACTTTTGTTTTCTTCGACAAATATAGGACTATTATTGCTAATCTTTCGTTTCTATCTCGCGCACAAATATTTGATTCTCATTCTTGGAATTCTAACCTCAAAATAGTTTCAAATTATATAGTTATAAATAACAAATTAAATGACAAATATCATAATGCTATTACTAATCATTTAACTAATTTTAATAGTGATTCCTCTCTACATTTTGTAAAATGGGATGATTTTCATATTTTAGATGTTAAACCAAATCTTAACAAACGATTAGTGTCAGAAATGTTTTTCATAAAAAAAGAAGGAGAGAATATAGTTTAAATAAAATGACCGACTTGGATAATTTTGATAAATCGTACGAAATGATTTTGAATTTTTTTTTTCCAGCAATTTAACGTAATAAATACTCATTGAGTTTCATTCTCTGTTCTTATTTAATTTATTGTTTTTGTTTTTCTCTGTTTAATAAATGTTCATTGTAATGATTAGATAGAGTTTGGAGGACTTTTTTTAAATTTTGACTATTTTTTCTTTTTATTATTATTTCGAAACGTTGGAGTAAATAAATATTTTATATTCATTGTCCGAATGTTTTCGTTTAATTTGCCTTAATTTTCAAATTGTTTCTGCTTTCTGCTTTTAAATACTGCATAATACTATTTTTATTTGAATAAGAAAAAAAAAATTAAAATCTATAATTCTCGAATGTTTTGAAAAAACTTTTCATGTTTTTTACGTTTCTTTTTAGTAGACCATTGTTTAGAAATCATTTTGAACAGAGAAACAAATTTATCATTTAATTTTTGTTATTTTACTATTGAACTGTAAAATTCACTGTAGTAACTAATTTTTTAATAGAATTCGCTGTCGAGTTACTGAAAAAAAATGTCAATTTTTTTTATAATAATTTATTCATTACAATAACCTAATAACCTTATATTCTGATGTTTATCTAACGCAAAATACATTTTATCTTATCACATAAAATATTTTACGATTTAATTATATATTTTTGCATATTTTACTAGAGGAAAGAATATTATAAATAATCTTTGAATACTTTAAAAATGAAAAAAATTTGTTTTTTACCAACTTATGTTAAACACGAATTTTAAATTTATTATACATAATAGGGTAAAAATTTTTTTTTGTTTTCAAATAAAATAAAAATATTAATACTCAGGTCCTGTAAAAAATGAAAAATTTATAAAAGAAATATAATTATTATGTAATAAAGAAAAATTTTAACACAACCATTTTTTAAATGCTAAATATTTTTATTTAATATTAATTATATTCATTTTATTTACTTATCTGAATGTATATTTTATTTTAATTAATTAATTTAAAATTTTAATCTCGATGCGAGAAATGAAAATTTAACCGAATAGGAAAATTAAATAGTATTAAGACAAATGATATTTTATTTAAATGACATAAAAAATATTTAGATACCTATTAATTGCGAGTTTTGAAGGTGGAAATTTTTATTGGAAATATTTTCAGATGTTACCAGTTTTGGCGGCGGCTGGTGCAGTTGTTATTATTGGAATAGGAGTAAAGCTCTACCTCTCATATATACCTGGTAAAAATAAAAAGGTGAAAATACTTTTAGAGGATCCTGTTGTTAAATACAGTCTTCCATTGATAAAAAAAGAAGTTATTAGCCATGACACGAGGAAATTTCGTTTTGGCCTTCCATCCGATGAACACGTTCTGGGACTTCCAATTGGTCAACATATACATTTAACAGCAAAAATTAACGACGAAGTTGTTATTCGTTCCTATACTCCCGTATCCAGTGATGATGATAAAGGATATGTTGATCTTGTCGTTAAAGTAATTCAATTTAATTATTTTTGAAAATTTCTAATAAAATTCTTAGCAACTTCATTATTATTTTCATAAATAATAAAATTCATCGCCTAGGTTTTCAAATTAATTTTTAATACAATTTTACAGGAATTGCTCGAAAAAATGTAATTATTCTTAAATATTTAATTTCAATTCCTCGAAAAAATGTTTTTTTTTTAAATTCTTTGGAAGAATTCAAAATTGAATATTTATTTTCTTTTTTAAAGGTCTACTTAAAAAATATTCATCCAAAATTCCCTCAAGGAGGAAAAATGTCTCAGTATTTGGAAAATTTATCCGTCTCGGATACTGTTGACTTTCGAGGACCATCTGGACGTCTTGTCTATAAAGGCGAAGGCACATTTTCGATTAAACTTTTAAGAAAGGAACCTCCTGTAGAATACAATGTTAAAAAGGTAAATAATTTCTTTGTAATTTATGAAAAAGCAAAGTTTTCAACTAAATTTAATTTACTTTAAAAGTAAGTAAAAATTTATTTTTAAAAGGAAAAGGTAAAATTTGGTTAGTTCTGATTTTAAATTTTGATTATAATAAATAATAGAAGACCACTCAGAACGCTCAAACTCCCATTACTATTTGCACAAACTGCAAATAGCGAACGATCCTCGAGTACTGGAAAAATCATAAGAATGATCTCGCCAGCAGCCTCTCACGCTCAGAGAGAAGAGCTACTGCTCATCATCGTGGCTGCATCGACTCCACTTTTGGGTAGAGAGGACGTGAAGATATACTACAGAAATGATCCTGTGAAGTATGATCTTGTCTTTTCGTCGTTTCGCCTCGACTTATATACTACTCAAAACGCGTCTCGCCTGCGAGAGAACTCACAAGAGGCCCTCTGTCGAGCGCCACTCCAACACCCTCCCCCCACCACTTTCCACGCGCCAAATTCAAATTCAGAGCAAATTAATTTTTAACTTGTTTAATTTAATTTTTCTTAAATATTTCAAAATTTATTCAATTTTAAAAGAGTTGCGTCTACAATTTTTATAAATAAATAAACTTAAAAGAATTTTAATTAGAAATTTTAGAAAATTTCAATTTTGAATGAATGAATTAAATAATAAAAATTTCACAGGAATTCTATATATTATTTACAAATTCTTTAAAATTTCTTCGCAATAATTCAATTCTTTTCAAAAATAATAAATTTTGTGACAAGAATTCAATTATTTACAAATTCTTTATTTAAATTTCTATTAGCAATAATTCAATTATTCTGCATAAGTAATAAATTCTTTACAAGAATTCAATTAATTTTCACAAATAATAAAATTCTTGTCAGAAATTCAAATTATTATATTATAAAAAAAAATTAAATGAAATTCTTCGCAAGAATTCAATTATTTCCAAAAAATAATACATTTTGTGACACAAATTCAATTAATTTTATAAATATTTTAATAAAATTCTGGACAAGAATTCAATTATTATATTAAAAATTTCAATTTCTTTGCAAGAATTCAATTATTTTTATAAATAACAACCTTTTTTTTACAGAGATCGAATTACTTTTATAAATAATAAATTTTCAGAATGGAATTTAATTAATTTTAAATATTTTGATAAAATCCATTAAAATAATTCAATTATTTTCATAAATAATAAAATTTATTCTTGACAGGAATTCAATTATTTAAAAGAATTTTTTTTTAAATTCTCCGTAGAAATTTAATTATATTCACAAATAATAAAATTACAGGCAAGAATTCAATTATTTTCAAGACATTTGTTAATAATATTTGACTTGAAATGTTTCAATTATTTTTAAAAATTCAGAGGAAGTTAATTATTTTTAAATATTTTAATAAAATTCTTGTGAGAAATTCAATTATTATTAAAAATTTTAATGAAATGCTTTGCAAGAATTATAATATTTTCATAAGTAATCAAATTCTTTGTAGGATTTTTTAAGTATTTTCATAAATAATAAAACTCTTGTCAGAAATTTAATTATTAATTAAAAATTTTAACGAAATGCTTTGCAAGAATTTAAATATTTTTCTAAATAATAAATTTTTAGTCAAGAATTCAATTAATTTTCAATATTCTCATAAAATTCTTAACAATTATTCAATTATTTTTATAAATTATCAAATTTTTAACAGAGATTCAATTATTTTCATAAATAATAAAAAAACTTTATATAGGTTTACAATTACTTTATAAATAATAAAACTCATCGCAGAATTTCAATTACTTTTTTAATACAAATTTTAATAGAATTTCTTGAAAAATGCAATTATTCTTCAAAAATTTAATTATTTTCAAAAATTTTAATAAAAATTCTTTGAATTTTGCAAAGAGTTTTATTAAAATTCATGAAAATAATTGAATTTTTCAATAAATTTAAAAAGAAATCCTGAAAATTGAATTTAGACAAGAATTTTGATTAAAATTCCTAAAAATAATTGAATTTTGTAATGAATTATTTAAAAATTCCTGAAAATTGGATTTAGACAAAAATTTTATTAAAATTCATGAAAACAATTGAATTTTGCAACGAATTTTAATAAAATTCCTGAAAATTGAATTTAGACAAAAATTTTATTAAAAGTTCCGAAAATAATTGAATTTTGCAATAAATTTTTTTAAAATTCCTAAAAAATGGAATTTAGACATAAATTTTTATCAAAATTTATGATAATAACTGAATTTTGCAACGAATTTTAATAAAAATTCTCTAAAATAATTAAATTTTGCAAATAAATTTATTAAGCAAATAAATAATTGAGTTTTTAAAAAATATTGAAAAAATAATCAAATTTTTGATGAATAATTTCTCAAAAATTCTAAAATAGTAAATTTTTAAAAATTTTAAATTACATTGTCAGAGAATTACTTTTTTCAAAACAATTTTAATATTTTCATTTTTTATCGAATTTACACTTGAAGATTATTCATTAAAATTTTTAAAAATTCAATTATTTCCAAAATTTTCAATAAAAATTCTATAATAGTTCATTTTCAAAAATTATAATAAAATACTTGAAAAAAAGGATTTATTTTCAATTATATTTTTACTAAATTTTAATTATTCAAAATCTTTTTAATCAGTATATTTCAAAAATTTAATTAGAAAAAATTTTCAAAAATTATTTTTGTAAGATTTATCTACAGCTATTTTTTATACTGCGGGTAAAAATAAAAAAAAATTGCAGCATTTTATATTAAAAATATGGTATTTTGTCGTAAAATTTGGAAGAAAAGTCGAAAATGTCGCAATTTTTTAATATAAATCGATAAAAGTCGCATTATTTGAAAATAGTCGAAAAAAGTCGAAAAAATCAATACCCGAGGACTGTAAATATAACAATTCGGAATACATTATTATATATGAAAGTTCCATGTATTTGTAAAAATTTATTGGTATTATTTTTTACCCTGTAAATTGACAAAAAATGAAAAAACACGATGAAAATGAAATGAACACGAATTATTGTTAATTAATTAATTAATAGAATTTCATAAAAGTGTTTAAAGAAAAAGAAAAAAAAATCTATATTAAATTGAATTTCCAGGTCGTCATGTTGGCCGGCGGTACAGGAATCACTCCAATGCTACAATTAATTCGTGCAATGATCAAGAATCCCAAGGATCAAACTCAAGCATCATTATTATTCGCCAATCAAACTGAGAAGGACATTCTTTTGCGCAAGGAACTCGAGGAAATTGCAAAAAAACAGTCGCAACGCTTTAAACTTTGGTTCACGCTCGATACAAGCAGCGAGGGTTGGAATTACAGTACGGGTCACATTAGCGCTGAAATGATATCCGAACACATGTTCCCAGCATCGTCGGACACCATTGTCCTCATGTGCGGACCACCACCAATGATCAATTACGCCTGCACGCCAAATCTCGATAAACTCGGTTACGATCCAAAATTACGCTTCGCCTACTAAAAATTTAGTCTCTTCAAATTTAATTTATAAATATTTTTAAAGAAAAAAAAAAGTTACCTTTTTGTATAGATAGAACCAAAAAAAAAGACCTCGATATAAAAGCATTTATTTCCATTGTGAAAGAATTTTTTCTTGCGAATAAAAAAAAAAATCCTATTTAAGGAAAATTTGGTGCTGCTTTGACAATTTTTTGTAAATTTCTTATTTTTTTTCGCATTAACATCGAAAATGATTTTTAAATCAAACGATTATCAATTTCTTTTTTTTGCATTGACGCCGTAACTGATTTTTAAAGTATCAATTATCAATTAAATTCGTTTTTATTTTTTTTCTTAAAACATAAAAATCGCGAATTTGTTTTTCTACCTTTTTTAATCATATTCATCGAAAAATAGCGAATGCGAATAATTGACGAATTTTAATACCTTCTTTTTCTATATATACATTTACTGTCGTCTCTTCGATTTCTTTTTTCACACTATGTAAGAACCACAGTATTGATATTAAAAAAAAAAAAAATTTTAGTATATTTTGTAAAATGTGCTGTGTTTTAGTAAAAAGTATAATAGACACATGGTTAAGGCATTTAATTATGTTAAACCTGTATTGAAAACTGTTATATGTGTATAAAAAGAAAGACAATAACGTTTATGGCGCAAATTTATTAAAAACCTGCAAATTTCTTTTCATTTAAAAATATTTATTTTATTATAAAAAAAAAAATTGTCGATTATATTTTTTTGTATATATTATGGTGATTGACAGTACGAACTAAAATATTCTTATCTAATAATATTTATTACTTATTTTGCTTTATTTATTTCTTATTTATTTGTTTAATATTTATTATATGTTTTTTACTAATTGCTTTATTATTTTTTTGAATCACTCGAAAAATGAATAGATACTCAAAAAAAATGTTCTATTACATTTATTTACGAATTTCTTTGTCACAATATTCGAAAACATTAAATCCATTTGTTTACATACCAATTTTACGAAATTTCGATTTATTCGGAAATTCTTCAATTAAACATAATTAGATATTAGAAAATAAAAAATTCAAAACTTTTTAAAAAAATATTCATTAAACTTTTTCAAACAAAATTAATTCTACAGAATTGTCAGTTAAAAATAAGAAAAATTCAAATTTTCCAAGATTTTAATTTGAAACATTTTCAAAATTCAATTATTAACTAAGCTTTTTTTTTAAATAAAAAATTTTTTTAAAAATTTTTTTTAAATTCATTTTTAAATTAATTCTTACTAGAAAATTCTATGCGAATTAAATTATTTAAATATAAAAATAAATAATTTATATTTAAATAATTGAATATTTTTTAAAAGTGAATTTCTTTTTAAATAATTGATTTTGTTGGAAAAATGTTATAAAATTTGTATTTTAAATCATTTAATTCCTGTGAAAATTTTATTGTTTTTTTTTCTTTTTATTTATTGTTTATGACAATAATTGAATTCCTGCGAAGAATTTTATTATATTTATGAGAATAATAATTCTTACAATTGTTTTCGTTGAATTTAATTTAAAGTTTATTGAAAAACTTTAAAAATTGATGAAAAATAAAAATTTTCAAATATTTTAATTTGAAACCATTTCAAAAATTCAATATTATTTCTCAATATTCACGCTATATTGCTTTCAATATTTAATTAATATATAAAATTATTTTAACTGAAATTCATTTTTAAATCGAAAATATTAGAAAATTCTACAAAAATTATAAATTACTTAAATACAAAAATAATTAATTGAAAAATTGAATGTTTCTTAAAATTGACTTCTCATAAAGAATTTTATCAACTAATTTTTAAATAATTGAATTTTTTTGACAAATTTTAATAAAGTTTTTTTAAAAAACTACATTTTTCGAGGAATTTGATTAAAATTGTATTAAAAATAATTGAAATTCTACGATGAGTTTTATTTATTTATAAAAATAATTGAATTCATAAAACGAGTTTTATTTATTTATGAAAATATTTGAATCCATTTGAAAAAATTTTATTATTTATAAAAATAATTGAATGAATGCAATGAAATTTGTAAAAAAACATTTGTAAATAATTTAATTTCAATGAAATATTATTTATGAAAATAATTAAATGTTTGCATTGAATTTTTTTTGGAAAAATTTTGAAAATAATTTATATTTAGCCAAGAATTTTATAAAAATGTTTGAAAATAATTGAAATTTGGTCATGAATTTAAAAAATATTTTTGAAAATAATTGAATTTCGGAGAAGAATTATATTGAGACCTCATTTTATTATTTATAAAGATACATTGAAATTTTAACATGAATTTTTAAAAATTTATAAAACATTTGTAAATAATTTAATTTCTATGAAATTTTTATTACTTATGAAAATAATTAAATGTTTGCGTAGAATTTTACAACAAATTTTTTTGAATAATTGAATTTTTTTTGGAATATTTTTGAAAATAATTGAAATTTGGCCAATCCATTTGTTTACAATTCAATTTTACAAAATTTCCATTATTCATAAATTCATCAACTAAAAATATATATTAGAAAATAGAAACTTAAAATCATTTTCAAAAAAAATTAATTAAACTTTTTCAAAAAAAAATTAATTCTACAAAATTGTTAGTTAAAAGTAAGAAAAATGCAAATTTTCAATGATTTTAATTTAAAACATTTTCAAAATTCAATTATTTCTCAAAATTGACGTTATAATGCTTTTAACATTCAATTACTTTCTAAAATTTTAACTAAAATTCATTTTTAAATTAATTCTTATTAGAAAATTCTAGGAGAGTTAAATTATTGAAATAGAAAAATAAATAATTTATTGAATACCTAATTGAATATTTTTTAAAAGTATAAAATTAAATGATAATTATATTTTAAATAATTTAATCTCTGTAAAAATTTTGATTAGTTATGAAAATAATTGAATTTTTGCAAAGAAATTTATAAAAAAAATTTGCAAATAATTAAATTTTTATAAAATTTTATTATTTATGAAAATAATTAAATGTTTGCTTAGAATTTAATTACAATGTTTTTAAATTGAATTCTTTATGAAAAATTTTTTACTGAAATAGTAGATATTAAAAATTAGTGAATTGGGGAAAATTTTTTGAAAATAATATTGAATTTCGGAGAAGAATTTTGAGATAAAAGAAAATAAAAAAAAAATAAATAATATGGGACAGAAACAAAGGTTGGTAATTATAATAAGAATTTAATCGGTACAAGTATTTATTAATATTAAATGTTTTTTTTCGTTTGTTATAAAAAGAGACGCTTATTGAAAAAATCTGAATATATTCCACCTTGGTGAGTGATCTTAATTGTTATATATTTAATTTTTATTCCTCGTCTTCATCATCATCGTCATCATCATCATCATCATTTTTTCCTCTTCTTCTTCTTCTTCTTCTTCTTTTGTTTCTTCTTTTTCTCCTTGTTCCTTCTTTCCCCCCCTTAAGATCTTTCTTCCAGAATAAAATGTTCAAGTCGAAGCTTGAACACAGTATTTTGAATGAAAATATCTCACCAAAGTGCAATGTTTCCAATATTATTTAATCAATTTTTAACGAGCATTAAAGCTTATTTAATGACAATACTTATTTTTCTTGTTGTTTAGATTAAAAAATACGAAACAAAAAAATGTGAAAGAAAAAAGCAGATGCGAAAAATGCAAATTAAAATGGAAATTGAATGTGTAGAGAAACATTTCTTTTCTTTTTTTTTTTTAGCAATGTCCACGATCCTTGACGCGTTTTCTGGGCGCAGCGCGCATAATATTATCAACTCGAAGAATCATTTCTGCCGCCTCACTAGCGCTCAATAGAACTTGTCTTTTCACTGCCCACGATTCAGTGACGCCGAGTTTCTTCATGCAACCAATTTCACCTCTTTCCATGTCTGCAAAAAGAAAAGAAAAAATAGGAATTAAACAATTATTCTTATTTAAGCCTAAAAATTCATTTCGTCTAAATTTTATTTTTTTATTTAAACTGTTTGAAAAAAATTTGAAAATTATTAATGAAATAAAAGGTAGAAAATAAAAACAAAAAAAAGGAAATAAAATAAATGAAATATAAATAAATAAAATAAATACATAAAACCTTAGAATAAAAAATAAAAATTGAAAATAATTATTTTCAAAAATTTTTTATAAAATTCATGACAAATTTTCAATTATTTTCAAAAATTTTTATAAAATTCTTGGCTAAATATCAAATATTTTCAAAAAATTTCCAAAAAAAATTCAACGCAAACATTTAAATATTTTCATAAATAATAAATATTTCATTGGAATTAAATTATTTACAAATTTTTTTTACAAATTTCATTGCATTCATTCAATTACTTTTATAAATAATAAAATTTTTTCAAATGGATTCAAATATTTTCATAAATAAATAAAACTCGTTTCATGAATTCAATTATAGAATAAAATTATAGAAATTATAATTGAAATTATAGAATTTCAATTATTTTTAATACAATTTTAATCAAATTCCTCGAAAAATGTAGTTTTTCTTAAAAATTTTATTAAAATTTGTCAAAAGAATTCAATTATTTAAAAATTTGTTGATAATATTCTTTATGAGAAGTCAATTTTAAGAAACATTCAATTTTTCAATTAATTATTTTTGTATTTAAGTAATTTATAATTCTTGTAGAATTTTCTAATATTTTCGATTTAAAAATGAATTTCAGTTAAAATTCTATACATTAATTAAATATTGAAAGCAATATAAGCGTGAATTTTTAGAAATAATTAAATTTTTGAAATAGTTTCAAATTAAAATATTTGAAAATTTGTATTTTGCATACTTTTAACTGACAATCAATTTTTAAAGTTTTTCAATAAACTTTAAATTAAATTCAACGAAAACAATTGTAAGAATTATTATTCTCATAAATTAAATAAAATTCTTCGCAGGAATTCAATTATTTTCATAAACAATATATATTCATAAAAAAAAAATTTTCACAGGAATTTAATGATTCAAATACAAATTTCATAAAATTTTTGCAACAAAATCAATTATTTAAAAAGAAATGTTTATCAAATTCTTCGCAAGAATTTAATTATTTTTATAAATAATAAAGCGTAACGCAGAATTTCAATTATTTCCTATACAATTTTAAATGAATTTCCCAAAATAAACAATTATTCTTAAAACATTTATTAAAATTCTATTCGAAAGAATTCAATTATTCTAAAATTTTTTTATAAAATTCTTTATCAGAATTCACTTTTAAAAAATATTCATTTATTCAAATATAAATTATTTATTTTTATATTTAAATAGTTTAATTCTCATAGAATTTTCTAGTAAGAATTAAGTTAAAAATTAATTTTAGTTAAAATTTTAGATAAAATAATTAAATTTTAAAAAAGTTTTAAATTAAAATCTTGGAAAATTTGAATTTTTCTTATTTTTAACTGACAATTCCGTAGAATTAAATTTGTTTGAAAAAGTTTAATGAATTTTTTTTTTAAACATTTTGAATTTTCTATTTTCTAATATATATTTTTAGTTGAAGAATTTACGAATAATCGGAATTTCGTAAAATTGAATTGTAAACAAATGGATTTGAAAATTCTCGAAAAAACTTTTTCAAAAATGATGAAAAAATAATGGATTTCTAAAAGAATTTTAGTTAAAAACAATTTTAAAAATTGGATTTTGGAGAAGTTACGAATTATTGCAGAAATTCAATTATTTTCAAAAATAATAAAATTCTTCGCGGAAATTCAATAATGTTCAAAAAAGTTTTAAATTCTTCTTAGGGATTCAATTATTTTCATAAATAATAAAACTCGAATTGCATAATTTCAATTGTAATTTTTAATACAATTTTAAAAGAATTTCTCGAAAAATGTAATTAAAAATTTTATTAAAATTTGTCGAAAGAATTGAATTATTAAAAAAATTGTTAATGAAATTCTTCATAAAAATTCAATTTTAAGAAATCAATTATTTATTTTTGTATTCAAATTTTAAATAATTGAATTCTAGGAGAATTTTCTAATAAAAAATTGATTTAAAAATGAATTTCAATTTAAATTTTAGATAAAAATTGAATATTTAAAACAATATAACGTGAATTTTTTAGAAGTAATTAAATTTTATTAATTTTTCTGAAAAAGTTTAATTTAATTTCTTTTATATTATTTCAAGTTTTTATTTTCTAATATTATATTTAATTGAAGAATTTACGAATAATTGAAATGTCGTAAAATTAAATATATTGTACAAATGGATTTGAAAATTTTTAAAGAACTTTTTCGAAAATTTATTAAAAAAATAATTTATTTAAAGAAAAATTTTAATTTAAAATTCTTGAAAATAATAATTGAATTGAAATGATGAAATAGTTAAATTTTCTAAAACCTACTTAAGCCCATGGTGCAACCTCCCGAATTGTGAGCGGCTCTAAGTTCGCTGACCAATTGTGCTGAATCAAAACCGGCATTATCGGCAATAACAGTTGGCAATTGTGCCAAAGCTCTAGCGAATGCTTCCATTGCAACAGCTTCTTTTCCCGGTGTTGCTGCAGCTGCTCGCATAACTGCGCAAGCCATCACCATTTCACTGCAGCCACCGCCATAAACAATTCTCGATTCTTGAACAGTTGCCGCAAGAACGCAAAGTGCATCGTGCAATGAACGATCAGCTTCATCGATAATTTGCTGAGTTGCACCTCTTATCACCACTGTGCAAGCTTCTCCCAATGGAACGCCCGAAAATCTCAAAAGTGTATCTTCACCGATCATCACCTTTAAAAATTTTCATTTTTTAATTTTTTATCATAGGCACTATTAATTTTTTTAATCATAAATTTAAATATTTTTAATTCAATATTTTTTTAAGCTATAAAATTATTTATTTAGTTACATACACAATTGTATAAATAAAAGATATTTTAGTTTTTTATTTTATTAGGCCAAATAAAAAAAAATTAAACATCTTTTATTTTAATATTTTTAGTATCAATTTTTAGTATTTTTTATATTTTCGAAAATGTATTCAATTTACTTAAAATTTATGTTTTTCTCTCTTTCTTTTTTTTTTCTTTAAATACCTGTTCGATTGTTTTGCATTTTCCAAGTGACACCAATTCAGGATTGTCAAAAGTGCTGACAATTTCACCGCCAGTTACAAGAGCGAGACGTTCAATTCCATCGAAATCAGCGTGTTCAATGGCCATAACACCGGCGTCAGCAAACAATTGCTCCGGATAATTGTAAATCAGTTGTCGATTGATAAATACATTGCAACCGTGCTTCAAAATCTTTTCTACTTTATCCTGGAAAAAGAAAATTATACGTTGAAATTTTTGTTTTTATTTAGTTTTTTTTAATTGCTTTTTATTTTTATTCATCAGGGTTTGCCACAAAAATTTAATTTTGTTTTTCCCTGATTTCCAGACAAAATTTTCACTTTTAAAACTTCAGTTCTAAATCAATTACATATCTATATTACTTTTTAATATTTTTCCGAAAGTTCTTTAAGAATTCAATTATTTAAAAAGAAAAATTCAATTTTTTATAATAATTGAAACCGTTCATTTTTCATTTTAAAGATATTAAAGGTAGAATATATTCAAACAATTTTAATAAATAAATTCGTAAAATTAACTTTTTAAAAATATTTCTAAATAACTTTTTGAAAGACGCAATAGTTTTACAATTACATAATAATTAAAAAATTTTTTTAAAAATTGAAATTTGCTAAAATCTTTTTAAAAACTAATTTAAATTTAGTAAAATCTTTGAAAAATAATTAAAATTTGCAATGAATTTTAATTAAATTCCTTAAAATAATTAAATTTGGCAAAAGTTTTTAATAAAATTTCTGAAAATAATTGAATTTTGCAAAGAGTTTTATTAAAATTCATGAAAAATAATTCAATTTTTCAATAAATCTTTTAAAAATTCTTGAAAATTGAATTTTGACAAAAATTTTTATTAAAATTCCTGAAAATAATTGAATTTTGCAATAAATTTTTTTCAAATTTCCTGAAAATTGGATTTAGACAAAAATTTTATTAAAATTTATAAAAATAATTGAATTTTGCAACGAATTTTAATAAAATTTCTGAAAATTGAATTTAGACAAAAATTTTATTAAAATTTCTGAAAATAATTGAATTTTGCAAAAAGTTTTATTAAAATTATAGATGAATTAGAATTTTAATTAAATTCCAGAAAAAAATTTAATTTTGCAAAGAGTTTTATTAAAATTCATGAAAATAATTGAATTTTTTAAAAATTCCTAAAAATTGAATTTAGACAAAATTTTTTATTAAAATTCCTGAAAATAAAATTGAATTTTTCAATACATTTTTTAAAAATCCCTGAAAATTTAATTTAGAAAAAAATTTTTATTAAATTTCCTGAAAATAATTGAATTTTGCAAATAAATTTTTTAAAAATTCCTAAAAAAATTGAATTTAGACATAAATTTGATTAAAAATTCATGAAAATAATTGAATTTTGCATCGAATTTTAATAAAAGTGCATAAAATAATTAAATTTTGAAAAAAAATTATTAAACAAATAAATAATTGAGTTTTTTGAATAATATTTAAAAAATAATCAAATTTTTGATGAATTTTAATTATTATTATTATTATTTTTATTTACATACAAAAAAAGCAATTTATTGAATAATTCCTTATTTCTTAAAATTGAATTCTCATAAAGAATTTTAGCAACAAATTTTTGAATAATTGAATTCTTTGGACGAATTTTAATAAAATTTTTAGGAATAATTGCATTTTTCGAGGAATTTGATTAAAATTGTATTAAAAATAATTGGAATTTCTGCAATTCGAGTTTTATTATTTATGAAAATAATTAAAATTTTTCGGAAGAATTTGATAAGAATCTTTTTAAATAATCGATTTTTTTTTGAAAAAATTTTATGATTTATAAAATTGTTGAAAATAATTGAAATTTCGCCATGAATTTTATTAAAATTTTTTTTTAAAATGATTGAGTTTTGCAAATGAATTTTATTAAAATTCCTGAAAATAATTGAATTTTTGTCAAAGAATTTCCCTATTCATTTATAAAGATAATTGAAATGTTGTCAATCTCTTCTTAGATTTTTTTTGAAAATAATTGAATTTCTAGAAAGAATTTTTTTAATTCTGAAAATAATTGAATTCTTGTGATTTTTATAAAAAATTCCTGAATATAATTGAATTTCGGCGAAGAATTTTTGCTATTTATAATAATAATTGAAATTTTGACGAGAAATTTTCTTTTTAATTTTTGAAAAATAGTTTTCACCTTCATTTTCTCCTTCTCAGCTACTTCCAATTCAGCAATTTTCGCCATTGAATCAACTCGAACCCTCGAGCCGAAAACCTATAAAAAATTTTATTATTATTATTAAAAATGAAACTTAATATATATAAATTAAAGTATTAAATTTATATAATATAAATAAATTATGTAAATTAATAAATTTTTTCCATTATTGGAAGAAGAAGAATAAATAAAACGCTAGTGTTTCATTTATTCTTCTTCTTCCAATAATCGAAAAAATTTATTAATTTATTATTATTATTATCATAGTCAAATTTATTTAAATAAATGGAAATTAGTTTTTATTTCTAAAATATTTTTGTCCTTTTTTTTTGCTTTCTAAATTGTATACCTTAATTTTATCGGTATCCATGGGAGTGTTGGCAATGAGAATCTTGGCGTCAGTTATTTTTTGCGGTTGATGAACACCGGGCTTTTTGTCCAATAAAAATCCCTCGTCAAGAAATGAATCGGCGAGTGTTGCGCCGCGTTTTTTAATAATTTGTATCGCCGAAAGATTTCCCGAGCCCTTGAGACGCGTGACAGCGTCAACGGCCAATTTACTGAAATGCTCCTTATGATGGGAGAGAATTTTCGAACTCAATGTTGTTCGCGCAATATTCATAAGGTCCTCGCGAAAACGTTCGGGATCCGCTGAATTGTCAGAGGCTACATTTTTAAGTGCCGTACGCGCAACATCAACTGCCATTCGCCAACCGGCAATTATCGTTTGCGGATGGATTTTTTGATCAATCAATTTTTCTGCCTCGCGCAAAAATTCCGAAGCTGAAGCAAAACAAGGAGAAAATTAATTATTTTGCTACAAATAGAAATTTAGACATTTTTTTTAATTATTATAGACAAAAATTTTAAAAAAAAGTAACGTTCAAAAAGAGGTGAAATATGAAAATATATAAAACATAAAATATATAAAATATAAAAAATATAAAACAAAAAACTTATTTTTTACCGAGAACAGTAACGGAAGTTGTTCCGTCGCCAACTTCATCGTCCTGAACTCGAGACATATCGACGAGAATTTTCGCTGCTGGATTATCGACGCCGACGTTTTTCAAAATTGTTGCCCCATCGTTGGTCACTTGAACATCGCCAGCTGTACGGCCGTGAGCAACTAAAATTTTGTCCATTCCTTTTGGGCCCAGAGTCGATTTTACAAGATCGCCAATTGCAATTGCGCCAACGAATAAATCGAGACGCGCCGTTTCTGCCTTCTCCTCCTCGGCATTCGTTTTCAAAATCCTTACCGGATTTAACGAAACCTGAAAAGAAAGAAAATATCAAAATTAACACTTTTATAAAAATAAATGTTTATAAATTACACTATAATAAGAAAAGGCATCGGATGAAATTTAAAGCGTAAAAAAGTCGCTTTAGTCGATTAAAAATAAAACAAAAATCTATAAAGTCGTTTATTTAATTTAATTTTTACGAAAATACTTGAATTTCTTTTCAAAGAATTTTTATATGTAATTTAAAAAATTAATTTTCAAAAAATTAATTTTTTGATTGAAAAACAATATTAACTTTAATTTAATTTTTATTACTTTTAGTGAATATTAGAAAATAATTAATTTTAGATTAATTTAAAAATCTAATTTTTGTTTAAATTTTTAATAATTTGATCATTTTTTAAATAAAAAATTTCCTTATTTCAGTAGATGAGCAATAATGAACTAATTAAGCTAATTAATGCAATTAATTTTTGAATAATCGTAATAAATAAATTTTTTTTTCTGACAACTTAAAATCTAAAAAAATAATTTAAATAAATAAAGTAAAGATTGATAATTTCCTTTTAATTTAAATAAAGTAAAGGATAAAATTAATTAATTATTTATATAATATTCCAAAGATTCGCAACATTAAATTTTATATGAACTTAAAAATCTCAAGGCTCATTTTTGAGGTTATGTTGTAGAGCAATTATAAAAGATTTCAAGAAATTTTTGCGAAAATAAGTTTTATAAAGTGAAAAAATTGCTAAATTTTTTTTTCTTTAGTAACAAATTAACTGAAAATTGAATTAGTGACAAGAAACTTAAAAATATAATTTATAAAAAATAAAATTGCAAAAAAAACGGTAACAAAAGAAAAATTTGCCAAGAAATTCTATAAAACAGAAAAAAGAGAATTTTTAACTTGAAACTTCTTTTTTTCAATTTCAGTTTCAGAAAAAAAAAGAAAAAAATTATTTCTTCGGTCGAAATTCTCATAACCAACCTCAAAATAATGAGAATGCTCCAAAAAATGAAATATTTTTTAACACTGAAAAAATGTTTAAATACAGAGAAAAATGAAAAATTATTATCAACGTTCAATGTATATTTTCAATAAAAATAATTATTTTCACTTTATTATATTGAAATAAAACACAAGCAAACACGTGTGTCATTGTAAAAAAAAGCGATGAAAATTCACGATCCACAAACAAATTTCCATTCAAAAAGAAATTAAACGAATCTTTTACACATTAAGATTTATATATTGAAATAACAGTAAAATAAATACTTACCATTTTTAATCTTCTGAAGATTTACAGTTCAATTATTATGAGGAAATATTATAATAAATATAAACCGGGCACTTTTTACAAAATGAACAATTTTTCACCACACAAAAAATTATCGTGAAGCGAAAGTCGTCACTTATTCAAGTTGATCGAGTCGCCGCCCTCATGTCCTTTGGCGTTCCAGTCGATGTCACGTGATCACTGGCTCCGAATTTAATTTCCTTATAAGGAAATTTGTCGTGTGAGTAAAATTTTAGCTTCAAAAAATTTTTATTGAAATTAAAAATAATAATAATAATAATAATAAAAAATTTAATAAATAAAAATAAAAGAATCTTACTAAGAATTAAATATTAAAATTATTTGCAAATAATTAAAATTTTATATATTTTTTATTATGTATATTATTTATTAACTAAAATATATTTTTTTATTTATGTTTATATTTTTCATATTTATTTCTATTTGAAATTAGTAATTATTTAAATGTAAAAATGAATGAATCAATACATTTCCAATAACAATATTAATAATAATAATAATAATAATAATAATAATAATAATAATAATAATAATAATATTTTTTTAGAAAAAATTTGTTTAACTAATTATCCATATTATTCTTGAGGATTTTTTATAAATAAACAAAAGTATTTTATAATTTATTTTTTTTATATCTTATTTATAGAGAATAATATTATATGGGAATATGTGAGTCATTTTTTTATATATTTTTTTAATTTGTAAGCGTTTTTTAAAAATTAAATAAAATTTATATTACTTTTTTTATTTAATATAATACTTATTATAATTCAATACTAAAAGACCACATAAAAGTCAATTTTTTTAAAATTCAAATTTTTAAAATGTTAATAAATTTTTAATTTTAGGCCTTATAAACTTTAAAAAAATAAATAAATATATAAAAATAAAGTTTATTCGATACATTTTTAAAGTGCTTTTTTAATGGACACAAAATATTTTAATTAAATTAAATGTAATTTTAATAGGTACCAAAAAAACCCAAAAATGAAATTTTTTAAAATGTTAATAACTTTGGTTAACATTGACGAAAAAAGTTCAATAAGAGGTCAAAATAATACGAAATTTCGACCATTTTAATGTTTTTTAATTAACCAAATACACTTATAACATATTTTTAAAAATTCAACTAATTTAGAAAAAAATATGAACTAAAATTTTCAAATACTTTTATTTTAAATCTTTTGAAATTTTATTATTTCTAAAATTGTTTACTACAACTCTTTCTATATTCAATTATTTTCTACAATTTTGAACTATTACAAGATTCTTCTCTAAATCAATTATTTTTCATAATTTTTAGAACGTGATTTACAAGAATTTCATTATTTAAATTTCATTATTTTAATAATTTACATGTTAAAAAATTCTAATAAGAATCAGTTTTTACTATATTTTTTTTGAAAATATTAAAAAAATGTAAAGTTCTATATTGAAGAAGTATATAATAAAAAAAAGTAAAAATATATGTTTTTTCCAAAATTGTATAATAATAATTCTAAAAAAAAAGATTTAAAGGCATTTAAAATATTATGACGTCAAATATTGTACAAAGCATGTATTTTAAACCTGTGACGTCATAATAGTTTAAATGCCTTTAAAAAAATTTAAATTTTATCGTATACGATAAAAAATTGAATAAGAATTAGTTTTTTAAAAAACACTGTAAAGTAATATTTAGAAAATAATTAAATTTCTTAACAAATTATTTAAATAATTGAAAAAAACTAATAAATTTTTTAAAGAATTATTTTTATTATAAAAATTTTGAAAATAACTTATTTCTTCAAATCAGTATTTTAATTTTTGTGAAATATATAATAGAAAATATTTAAAATAATTGAATTTTAAAAAATTATAATGAAAGAATTCTATAAAAATTACTTATTTAAAAATTATTTTAAGGGTATTTTGAACCATTATGACGTCATAATTTTATAGAATACATGCGCTTTGCAGAAATTGTCACGTCATAATGGTTCAAATAATTTTTCTGGTGATAATTTTCGTTATCAAATTTTTATTCGAAGATTTTTAAAATTAAAATTTTTGAGAACTCAATTATTTCCAAAGTATTTGCAAAATTGCAATTATTAAACATTTTAACTTTTTAAAATTTTCATAAATTTATTTTTAAAAAAAATTAAAAATTAAAAAAATTAAAAATAAGCATATTTTTAATAATATTTTACAACTAGCTGTCGAACCCATTTTCGACGGGTTTTATAGTTTCTATACCAATACATTTAACAATGTTTCTACCAATCTGGAAAATCAGAAAATAGCCGGGAATTTAATTTGACCGGAAAATTAATAATTAGTTACCATGAACTATTTCGGTAGCATATAATATTACTACATATTTGAATAGTCTCCACCCTTTTAGCTAAAAATCAAAAATTATCAAAAATTCGAAAAACCGAATTTCTTAAAATTTAACATTTTTTTCTTCTCTTTTATATCGTTGAGCTTCATTATTTTTGGGCTCTTAAAAAACACTTTACTTATTTAATAGTCTCCACCCTTTGGTAAAAAATCTAAAATTATGGAAAATTAGCAAAAATTCAAAAAACCGAATTTCTTAAAATTCAACATTTTTCCTTCTTTCTTATGGCATTATAATAACGAAAAAATATATAAAAATTTTCAAGTTTGGAGCAATGTACAGACAGAAGCCTGATTTTATTAATATAGATAAATTTAAATTATTAAAAAAATGTTTTTTTAATTATAGAAAAGTGTCGAAAAAGTAATAATTATCGAGTCCTGTTTGAGAAAGTGTTTTATAAAAATAAATGATTATTATATATATGAAATAAAAGAAGCGGATGTAAAGTGCAGGAGGGAATAAGTAATTTTTTGCCATATGGAACGAAAAAATTTAATTTTTCGAATAAATAAAAAATTGGATATCAAATAAAAACGAAAATCAATAAAGAAAAATATGAACATATATCTGTAAAATTATTACATATAGGTATTCATTGTGTTTGTTTCTGTGTATATATGTGTATATAAGTGTAAGCAGTTAACGGTTTACTACAGCTGTCCCTTATTTGTCCGACAATAGGGGTCTCTCTCTTTGAATGCATTCTGCTCTGAAAATAATAAAAATCAACGAAGTCGAGAACTAGAGAGAAGGAGAGAGAGCACATATTTATATTTCTATGCGGTGTATATAGGCAAACAGAACCCGTATATGTACCTGCATTTCTAAAAACCTGCGGAACAGTGACAACGAACTTGCTTCTATATGCCTTATACCTATATAGCTGCACTGGTTGTGAGAATTTTTGCCTTCCTGCTCATTGGAAAATTTCTATATACGATTGCACATATATACTCATTACTTGCGGTTATTTAAATAAATTCTATTTCCTAATTCCTATAAATGTATCTGTATAAATGAATAACGATTCTGTCCCCTTGGGTCTTAGAACACCCGAGTTGATTTTATATAATAATTTTTATCCCAATAAGAAAAGCGAGAAATTAAAAAAAATTTTAAAATGCTGCTATGTTTAAAATAAATTTGTCTTACCTACTCAATGAAATAAGTAGACTTTTTTTCACATCAACCTTTCTCTCTATTATAATTTACAAAACGAAACTTTAGTTTGTAGAAAAAACTCCTTAATTTTGTTGTAATTAGTTCAAGAAGAAAAATAATAATTAAAAGAGAGTAAAACAACAACTAGTACACAAAGAAGCACTACTGACAATAATTTTTCCTTTCTTAAAAATTCTGGTTCTTTTGGGCTACTTTGCAAATTTGGGGGATGTTCATTAAATTCGCTGAGTAATCTAAACCCAGAAGCTCTGATGAGGATTACTTCATTAATCTTATCAGCAATGGAAACCTCTACCAATGTTTTCACATTTATTAAGCCGTTTGTAGCTTTATAAGTATTTACGTGATCCCTGCTGATGGTTGTCCACTGCCAAACATTATAGATTTCTTCGATATGTTGGGCCTGGTTGGGCAGTGCTTGTTCACTGCCAAATGTGACTGTCATCATGGATATATTCGGTAGACTTTGTTTTGTTTCAGAGATCAATGCTATGTCGGGTTTCAATTTTTTAATGTGTTTGCTAAACTCTGTCGTCTGGCATTTGTAATTATAGAATTTACGTTGATTGCTATAACTTTTAGTCTACTTTGTTCTTTGTTGTTTAAATTGTTGTCCGTATTGGGCATATTCGATGTTTAATTTTTCACAAGTGACTTTTGTCATCTCTATATTTTTGTCAAGTTTTTCATTTATTTTTATAATTGTTCAAAGGAAAAGAAATTGAGTATTTCGTTTTTAAATTTGTCTAATACGGATCCCAATTTTTCTTCTATTTCGTTGTTTTCTACATTTATTTCATTGTCATTGTTATTTACATTTTTGGTTAATAAATCGTTTTTTGTTACATTTGCGAATGATACCCCTGTTTCTATTTTATTTGCTAGATGTTGCATTTTTGTTTCTTTTTTTTGTCATTTATCTTTTTTGACATTTCTACTATAGTGTTGGGCAGCCTCTGAAGGAGGCAGGGTGACCGGGTTTATTACAATTTATACAGAAAACATCATCGAATTGATTTACAATAGTACATTCACCTGGTTTGTGATCGTTTGGACATTTTACACATCTAAATGGCCTTCCGCAAAATTTCGCCACATGTCCTAGTCGTTGACAGTTCCAAAATTGAACACTATTTTTTCGTCTAATCCTTTCCCATTTAATTTTTTGGTAAGCTAATTTTTTAATTTTTAATGGATTTCCGATTTTACTTTTACCAGTAGTTTGCACTTAGGAACGCGTCCCCCCTCTTTTAGCTTTAAAGAATTCCTTCGTATTAATTTTGTTTTACTGTAATATTATATCCACTTGATCGATATTTAATTCTTTAAGTTTAGAGTTTATTTCGTTTTCTGAAAAATCGCCATCTATGCCCCAATATTTTTTCCTCTTTAGGAGCGCGAGTAAATACTTCTATTTTTTTTTCTTTTTATACATTAAAAACTATATGAAAGTCATTTTTGTTTTCAAGTTTTAATTCTAATTTGTTATTACCCAACGATTTTAAAGAAAATTTTTTATTACCTGTAATGGCGCTGACTACTTCTATCGCAGTTTTGGTGTTAATATACCAAATACCTTTTTCTTTGTGTTTATTCTGCTTCTCACCG